TAACCTAGGAGGGTAAAAGTGATTTATACAGTACCATGATCAGTGCTGCACATAATGCAATGTCAGAAGTGTGACATTGATCGGTGATGGATGAGAGAGGAGATGAGGAGGTGGAATTTGTAGTGAGATCTGGGCCTCAAATAAGATAAGGTTGTGGGAAAGAGGGTTTGGAAAAATATATGTTGGAAGAGTGGTCCCGAGAGAATAATGTGAACACTATATAATTAGAAAAGAAGCTGCAGAAGGGCAATCTGTGAGAAGAGAATCTCGCCTCCGCTATAGCTGCTACAGAAGAATCACACAAAATGCATAAATGGCAGACAAACAATTGAAGGAACGAATGAACCAAGTGAACACATATTGATATTTCCTGGCTTGTTTCGCTGCTGCCTGTTGCGGCTGCGGATAATGTCTATCTTCTCGTTATATTGGACTCCCTCCTACCTTCCCAAAGTGCTTGTCCCTTTCATGCTTCTGGGTTCTTTCCTCCCTCACTCTCATCTCATTCTCACTTTGATTTCATCCCCCACATAACATTATTTTTTACATGATCAAATAATAAAAGTAAAGGTATATATGCAAAATAATCCCACCATTTTAAGACACAATTCTTCTATTATCCAATGCTAACAGTAACAACACAGCATCACTACCAGCGAACACTATGTGAATTCTATTATACATGCATATTTGAGGGGGTAAAAATCATAAAAAAGAAATTAACATAGAATCCATTGTCCTAATTCATAAAGTACTTTTAGATAAAATCAATAAAACTTATTAAATATATTTTATAATTTTGTTTTTCTAAACAAAAATAAATTTAAAAAAATATTTAAAAATATTTTATAATTTAGAATGAAGGTAGTGTTTTTTTATAAGAAAAACATAATTTTTAGTCCCTATAGTTTTATTGAGTTTTGCTTTTAGTTCTTATAATTTTTTTAATATTTTTAGTCCCTATATGGACTAAAATTATTAAAAAATAAAAACTATATGAACGTAAAAAAATAAATGTCATTTAATTTTTTTGAAACTATGGATGCTAAAATACTAAAAAAATTACATGAAAAAAAACAAAACCCAATAAAATTATATGAATCAAAATTGTGTTTTCTCTTTTTAATATATTTATTTGACAAGGTTAGATTTGAGTATTGTTGAATTTAGTTAAGGATAATTCTTTGAAAAATATTTTCTGCACTTACAAGAATTTAAATTTGAGACCTCCTACTTAAGATATTATAATTTCTTTTACAAGACCCAATACCTATTAATGAAATTAACATATATTTGAGTCTAGGTTTAGTGGGTTTGAAATTTTAGAAATAGTGAGGGCAAAATTTTCATGTTATGATACTTTTTTTTAAAGTTCCATGGCGCATCTGTTCTTCCTCAACTCTCTCCATATACAAGGCTTAAAGGTCAAACATTTGATTGCAGAATTGATATTGCGATACAAATTTACACTTACCTAAGCAATTTGTTTTTAAGTGTTCATAAAAAAACAATCAATTAGGCATAATATCGTGAGGTGTGTCAGGGATGTAGAATCTCAAAAGAATTGAAGAATTTAATGTATATTCAAATGTGAGGAACTGAGGCTCCCTTATCACAGCTCACCGAGATATGAGAATGAGTAGTAAAGAAAATTAATATACATGCAGGAAAGTAGATATGCATTAATTTAAAAAAAAGTGGTGGGCTATACCGGCTACACAACAAAAAATAAAGACTAAAACTATATGATAAAAATAAAAAATAAAACAAAGTAACAGATGCAGAGTCTAAGATTAGTAATTTGTTGACGCCAATGTTTGAGAGGGGGCTCTTCTATTTATAGATGATCTTGACTTGGTGTTTAAGCCCTATGATCATTAGTTTTCTTAAATTTTAAAAGCACCTTCTCTATTATGGCTACTCATCATAAATATTTTCTTTAATTATTTTAAAATTAATTAAATTGAATTGAGCCTGGATATTTAAATTTACAATTTGAATGCAAACAGTAAGTACTTAAAAAAATTTCTTTCTAAAATTATTCAAGAAAACAACCTTCTAATTAGGGAGAATGGCAGGCTCTCCGAAGAGGGAAAAAAAAGTAACGAGGACTTTAAATAATTAAAGGTTCATTTACATACAATTAAAGATTAATTGATTGACTTGTGTATGGATGAACCCTTACATGTCTAAAGTTTTCACTGCTTTTTTCTCTGTGAACCCGTACTGCCATTTTCACTTCTAATTACATAGGTAGGAATAGGGGTGTGCATGTAGCCCGATTGCCCGATATGCCCGCCCGAACCCAGTAAAATTTTGCCCAACCCGGCCCTAAAAAAAGCTACCCGACATGACTTGGGCATGTTTGGACAGGGCATTGTTCAGGCAGGGCCGGGTCACGAGCAGGGTGGCATGCTCTGCCCATTTGGCCCAGCCCGAGTACATTAATATTTTTTTAAATTTTTAAAGGGTCAATTATATTAACTATTAAGATTTAAGGAAATATGAAAAGAGGAATTGGAAAGAAGCTTTTTGTAAATTAAAGTCTACTCTGTGAAATTATTATTTTTTCATAATGCTCCAAACTTTTGTAAAATTTATTATTTTTAATGGATTATTGTAGCTATTATTTTGGATTGCATTATGGATAATTTCACTATGTGTCAAGACTTATAATAGTTTTATATTTCAAGTTAGATGTTGAATTATAGATAATTGGATATCATAGCTGTTATTTTGTATTTATGGTTTACATTTTTATGAATGTTATTTTGAATTGATGGGCTGGGTCATTGTTATTGATTTATGGTAGTTTCATTTGAAATTGATGGAAAGAAAAATTATTTGATGGGCAGGGCGACCCGAAGGTGCCCAGCTTGCCTTGCCCAGCCCAAGCTAATAGGGCATTTTATGGGCAGGGCTGGGCAACGGGCTACATTTTCTAACCCATGTATCCTTTGGGCAGGGCATCGGGTAAAGCCTTGCTCAGCCCAGCCCTGCCCATGTGCACCCCTAAATAGGAAGATGCATTATTATATTTTAAATTTGTAAAACTTATTACTTTGTATAACATAATTTGATGATAACAATGGCGAAGAAAAGTTGATGATGAGTCATCTTAATGGCAATGTTATTTCCCTTATTTGCAAGACATCTACTTGAACTTGAGATTGATATGTTTATGAAGTTAATTATGTTTGAGTTTCCTTTAATTTTCTTTGAGTAAAGATTATATTAGAAGTAATTTTTTTCCAAAAACAAAAAAAAAACATAGCCGGAAAAACATCATACTGAGTTACTTACTAATCAGCAAGATCTGTTCAATAAAGTCACCATTTAATTTCTTTTAATTTTTCTTGACTATAACTTCATATTTCATTCCCTTTTTCTATTGTTTATATATTTAACCTTTAAAAAAAAAAGCCTTGCGAGGTCTCGTCTTTCCATGGTCGGTCTCGATTAACGGTTCACGTGCCTGTACTGCTTTGTTCCTCACATAACAACAACATACAAAGTAGTGAAGTACAAGGCCACAAGCAACTGATATAATATTTAATTTCTGGCCCGAATAAAAGGAATTTAATATTTAAAGTTAAAATAAATTTTAAATTCTATAAAAAAATTTAATTTAACTTTTTAATTTTATAAATTATTTTTTTAATCATTTAACCTTCATATCATTAGTTTTAAATAATTATTTTTTATATCAATCATCATTATTTTAAAAAAAATTAAAATTAATATGTCAATATTTAAAAATATTTTATCAATATTTAAAAATTTAATATAAAAATTAGTTAAGATTAATCTAATGGACTAATAAAAAGATAATTTATAAATTTAAAGTATTAAAATAAATTATTATGTAAAATTAAATGATTAAATATATATTTTAACTAATATTTAATTGCCAAGTCCATGTGCACCCAAGAATAAATGACTTCATCTGCATGCTTTTGAGTTTAGTTTTTCTTTTTTCTTTTTGGTAAAAAGAGTTTAGTTTATAATTAAATTGACTAGCTTTCGATTATCGTGTATCATTTTGAGCTGTATGAAATTAAGAAAATTAAGTTTCAAATAGGTCCACTTGACCCTTGTAAAAACGTTAAAATTTTTACACTTTTTTAAATGTTCTTGTAACCAAATTGTTCAATTAAAATATGACAAACACATAATTAGCCCATCTTAACATCGCAATTATGTAATGTTTCTTTTTTTTTAAAAAAATATTGGCATATAAAGCTAATTAATTTAGATATAAGTTGCATTGAATCCTGGGAAGAGGAACATTTCAAACATGTTCACTTATTCACAAGATTTGAGCTCGAATTCTTACCCAATAGGGTAATGAAAACAAATCTTACCTATTCGGCCAAAAAAAAAAAAAAAAAACTTCCCTAATAGGCATCGAGTTATGTTATGTTTTGATTGAAAAATTATAAATCAAAGTTGGCCCAAAAAAGAAAAAGAAAAAGTATATATCAATTACTTTTTTTAACTAAAACTAGTGCTGAAAATATAAGAGCTGTAGCTAATTTTTTTTTATTGCGCCCATGCATCAATCCTATTGAGGTAATCATGTTCAAAGTACAAGTAATAGATATAACTAATTGTTTTTAATCACTTAAAAATACTTTTTATTAGAAGTAATCTTTTTTGAAACACGATTAGACCCTGAATATGAACACATTTTCTAATAAAAATTTGAGTTTTGATTCATAAATTAGCCCATTCTGCTAGACTATAACTAAATTTGATGCATGTTAAAAAAGGGAAATTCTCTGAACCTAAGCACGCTGCCTTTGCTATAGGCATACAAACTCAACCCCAATTTTGTTCTTTTTGGTTAAACACAAGGCCCTAGATTTGGACAAAGGACAGATCAAAAGAATGTAACATGGATCCTAAGCCCACAGCCCATTAACCCAAAACACCCTGAGCCCGATGGCTAGTCAGGCAAGAGAAGCGCGCCTGCTTTCATTTTTGTTAAACCCTTACCGCCCCTTAAAACCCTAAGACCTAGAACCTTCCACTCTCGTCCAGAGATCCTGCACTTGGGGCTCCATTGCTCCCATCGATGTTTTAAAAAGCGATCTCGATCACGCCCATCTACCCTGCGTTGATTCCCAACGGAATTTCCCGAGAAGCCCCATTTTCTTGTTCTTCAGAGATGGCAAAGCGTTTGCTTCCAACCCTCAACCGCGTCCTCATCGAGAAAATAGTGCCTCCTGCGAAGACCACAGCTGGGATTCTCCTCCCAGAGAAGTCCTCCAAGGTTTCATATTGCTCTCTTTACCAATGCTTTCGTTTCTATGATTTTTTACTCGTCTTTTTGGCTCTGCCTGCTTATTGGAGTGTTGCATTCTTGGAATCTGTTATTCTAGAAGCTGCTTGATGCATGGGCTTTGATATACATGTTATTTGAATTTCTTGATTGTTTGGCTGAAATCGGGTTTGTTCGACAACAGCTGAATTCAGGGAAAGTGATAGCAGTAGGACCTGGAACGCGAGACAAGGCAGGGAACTTGATTCCGGTGTCGCTGAAGGAGGGCGACACTGTGCTGTTGCCCGAGTATGGTGGCACTCAAGTCAAGCTCGATGACAAAGAGTATGCTACCTGAACTTTGTTCCATTCCAATTGTAGTAAATTGTATTCAATGCCCGATATATTTTAGAGCTTAAATTCACGCTCTTAGTAGCTTCTCATTTACGGTATTATATACTCTCCAAGTATCGATAGTGTTATTCTGTACCTAGCAGTTAATCTTAAGGTTAGAGAAACGGTTATGAAAATTTAGAGTAAAGGAATTTAGTGTATGAATTTAAACTAGAAGATGTTTGTAGGTTTTACGAACTTGCAAGTTATTTTAATTGACAATGAATATTGTTGATTGCTAATTTAAAATGGTACAACTGGCTTCTTCTGTGGCAGGTTTCATTTGTTTAGGGAAGAGGATATTTTGGGCACTCTGCACGATTGAAGAAGTGAACACTCTAAATTGTGAGATCGCGATTGATAAAATCTTGTGGATGTAACTTGGCACAAATATGGATTAACTTTTACCTCCAATGCAATGCTTGATTATATTATGAAAAATGACAATGCCAATCGTGCTTCTTTGATTTGATGGTGGACATTTCTATTGAACCTTTTCATTTCTGCTGTTGCGTCCCTATGCTTCTATCTGATAAATGCATAGCTTTTGCCTAAACATGCTTTCTTTAAATTTACCCGAAGCTTAGCATGTCTTTTAAGCAAATAGGAATTTGCTTGTGACTGATGCAAGCTGCTCTGGGTATTTGCCTTGGACAACAAAACTATAAAATAGCATAGTCAAATAGGAAGCTAGACCCACTCTTGCTTTTGTCCGTGCGAGAGCTCTGACTCAAGTTCCAATTCTAATGTTGTTAAGGAGCGTTTCGATTAATCCCTGGATTGGTTCAACGCTGGGGGAGGGAATTTGATGATTTTTTCATTTAATTCAGTCTCGCTCAGAGCCTTCTAGATTTGACTGGAAAAAGGAAAGAGGTGGGGTGATCTCTCGCACCTTCCTCTGGTTTTCTTTAACACTGTTTAGGTGGAAAGGGGTAAAGGGGAGGGAGAGGGAGGAATCCCTTCCAATCCTTCCAATTTGGATGGGAGGAGAGAGAAAATTTTAATCTTTTTGCCTTCTAACCAAACTGGAGGTAAGGGAAGAAGAGTAACTCCTCTTTGCTCCAAAACACGCTGACTAGATAGGGGCTACAGGACTTCTAAACGAAATAGAAATCTTGACCTTAAAACTAATTCAAGAGACATCCAAAAGTAAATTTCTAGCTTCGTGTGAACCAAGATTGAATTGAGCGAGAGTTTGACGAAGCAAGAGCCATAAGTGTAAAATCAAATGAGCTCGCAGTAAATTAAAAAGTACTTTTATTTTTGGGGGTAGTAGGCGAAGAACTACTTAAGAAATAATTTTGAAGGAGAAACGAATGCAAGTTCAATTTTGTTATCTTCATAAAAAATGACAGAAAAATAACATTCAACTAGTGTTAAAGGAGCAAATTTATTCACGACATATTCTTTGAGGATTGCTATAAGGTAGTGCAAGCAAATCCCTCAACTAAATAAGGTGTGGTAATTTTTCCCACAAGTTATTAACTTTGACTGATAAGAAATGTTTTAACTAAAAATATATTCATATGGCAAACAATAGAAGGAGATGAGGATTGAGGAAATTGAATTGTAGCATGAGAAACATGCTCCCATTGCCATCGATCACTCATCACACTCCTTCAATTACCAATCGAGCTATCAATCACTCGTCACATATCCTCTTTAATTTTCCCAAACTACTCCTTCACCTCTCACACCGAATTCCGATCTCATCTAACCATCTTCCATACACCCACGCCCCCCCTCAGTCGCATTTTCAGGAAAAGTTGTGTCTAGCGATTGAGCTTGGCCTTCCTTAGCAGCGACTCAGAGCACCAAGATGAAGACGACGATGACGATGACGTGTGAACGTCCTATCCACAAGTGAGTAGTCATCCACAAAGTTCCAAAGCCATCCAACTAGACAATGTTTTCGTGCTGTAACAACACATTCATTTAGGAACATCGTTCTTAAAATTTTGCTAAAATTTTAACAACCTAGTAAGGTTGATTCAAGCAAAAACACTTGAATATATGAATATTGAAGATAATCCTAGGGGCATGGTCATGCGGGACTCGCCACAACTAAGAGCTCGGCCTAGAGGTTAGAGGCGTTGTTGGTGAAGAAGACAGAGTCAAAGCCGGGTAAGGAGTTAGACTTGCCAAGCCTGACGGTGGGGAAGGAGTAACAGATCATGGTGGGGCAAGCAAGGCGGAGGTGTCAACGTCTTTGCGTGGGAAATTGAGAAGGTCATGGCTGGATTTGTTGGGGGGACTATGAAGATGAAGGAAGGTCGGGGAGGAGGGGAAGCAAGGAAGATTGGATAGAGAGGAGGGATTCAGTGACATACTTGGAAGGAGAAGTAGGGGAAACAAAGGAAGCAAGAAAGTTGTTGATGTGAACCTAAGAGGACAGTCACTCAAGCCCCATGGGAAATGATGGAGACGGCGACGGAGTGAGTGACGGGGAGAGTATGAAGATCTAAAATTTAAAAGTCAAAATATTTTTTTAATAGTCAAAGTTAACAATCATTTATTTCTAGGTAAAATTTCTGTTTTATTTGAGAGATTTTTTTATACCACCTCATAGTTTAAAATACCCAACAATTTTTAAAAAATAATTCATGAATAAATTCGCTTGTTTATCTTTTAATTATCAGCATGGAGTGCCACATTCAAATTTTTTCTTTCAAAAGAACAGAAAACCTCTGAACATGATCACTATCATTTTATTAGTTGATGTGTAATCTCAAAAACTTTATTACACCACTGACACTCAGAATTTTTTTATTTAGTATTCTATTTTAAATTATAAAATATTTTAAAAAAAATATTATATTAAAATATAAAACATTTTGAATAGATCAAAATTTCATCAAATGCATCATTTTTAAAATTATCTTTTCTCTCTCTATAATTAATTTTTATCCTTTTTTTATGTATTAAATGATGAATATTTTTTAAAAATTTATATTTTTATTTTAAAAAATAAAATTGTTAAATATATTTAATAAAATTTATTAATATATAAAATTTTATCTAAAAATATTTTTAATTTAAAATGAAGGGAGTATTTATTATACACTCCATAATGATGATTAAATGGTTTTCACTAGAGGCGCGTTGGTCCTTGTTTATGGCGAAACAACAAAAGATGCTTGCTCCCACCCTCCCCTCAAAAAGAGAAGAAAACCCACGGGGCAGGGGAAGGCCCCCATGCATACACAAAGAAGAAAGTAAAATTATGCCCAAGAAATCAATGGAAGCCAAACTGCTGGCAGCATTATACAGATGTCCTCTAGCAACAAGATCATGATCTGAGGCTGTAGTCACTTTATTGCACTGGCTAGATCCAGTAAGCACTCTCGCCAGAGTGTAAATTCAAAAGTCTTTTTGAACCTCGTTTACCATCATCAACTAGGCGAAGGTACAACTTCAATTGACTTAATCAAGGACTTCCACAGTTTAGGACCCAATAGAGATGTGAATTCTAATACTAACCAGCAAATAATAGTAAGTCTGAGTGCGAAGGTACAACTTGAACATACTTAATCAATGACTTCCACAGTTCAGGACCCAGTAGAGATGTGAGTTCCAATATCAACCAGCACATAATAAGTCTGAGTAACTTTACAAGCAAACTCACCATAACATATATAACTGGCTGTAACATTAGAACTAATGCTGTCTAAAGCTTGTCTAGAAGATGCTAACTGCATGACAATACGAAAGGCCTCACAATCCTTTTATCAGGAAAATGAATGGCACAGGCCGCCAAACAAATAGAGGTGAACATTGTCATTGAGTAAGCGTTGAGGACATACTTTGTGCAGAATGTTCCTGAACGCAACGACAACAGTATACGGTAATATGTGCCTAATGGATTTGATAGAAAATTCATCTCTTACCAATAATCAAATTCTTGTAATTATAAAAATGAAAAGGATGGACAGAAACAAGAACCCAAAGCCCACACATGTATCGAGTAAAACTTATAAAAACCTGCAAGATTGGATTACTCAGGACGATATGGGGATTGACAATAACAATCATTAAGAATCAAATATAGCTGTGAAATAGTTGTATTTCGATCGAACGGACCGGAATCTTAATGAAGAGCATTATTTTGCAATACTATCACTATGTCATATACCACAAGAACTTGAAGTCAGAAAACATGACCGCTGAAAAAGAATATAGGGTCTGATTCGTGATAATCAATCGTTAAGCTTGGTTCAACTCGAACGTCCAAACGACATATTAAAGACCTTTGCCATTGAAAATCCTTCCTTTATCCATACTAAGTACCCATAATACACGAACACCGCCTCAAACCCCAGCTCACTTGTATTCAAAATTCGGGACTGGCGGAGCATCAAAACTCTCCAAAACCTTGGTCTCGCTTCCCCCGCTCGTGCTGTGTTCGTCCTTATTGCCTCCACCCGATAAACCCCCGAACCATGATTTACTTTTCGAACCCGAATCCGAAGGTACAGTCGACGACGTCATCTCTTGTGGTACGGTTGGCACCGGCAATCTATTACTGGAGGGGTTAGGGTACTCAGGCATGGGCTCTTCAATCATTATAGGCATCTGTTGCTGTGCGCTGAGGAACTTGTTAAGCATGATCCCAGCTCCTTCAATCAAGGCCAACAAGACGCCGCCGAAAGCAGCCGAGCGAGCAGAAGCCCCAAGACCCTGCCTCATGCAGAGGAAGCCACCGGTGGCAGCACCGGCGATAATGGAATTCCAGGGGTCCTCCTTTTGACGAAGATAGACCATCGTGCAGTCAAAAGTGGAGAATAAACCACCCCAGACAGCGAAGCTGCCTCCAACACGCGGCGCGTTGAGGCGAACGGCTTGGGAGCCGCCGATGAGCCGCGATCCCTTGGGAGAGTTATAGAGTCCTTTGAGAAAGTGAAAGGCAGAACCGCCAACGGCTCCCATGCCGAAAGCGCCGCCGATGTCATCGAGAATACGATCGGGGCAGGGCTCTCGAGAAGTCTCTGGAGTTCCCATGAGGAGAAGAGGAAAGTGTCAGGGGTTCGAGCCAGTACTCCCTCCCCTCTTCTGTATCCTGTGGAGGAAGGAATCATTCATGATTGAAGTACTCAAATACCCTTCCTTTGGTTCTTTCCCCTCATCCGGGTCGGGCTTCCCATCGGATACCTTGAGACGGAGAAATGTTTTAAAAAAAAAAAAAAAACCCGAAGCAATTACTACTAGTAATTAAAATTAATTAACAATTCAACCATTAATAATCACAAGAGAGTTTTAGGTAGGGGTGTTCACGGAGGATTGGGACACTCTTATTTCATGTTTTATTTCAAAAAAAGATCTAAACTAAATTTTTATCCCATATTCTGTCCAATCTTAAAAGTTGTCTTATCTCATTATGAATCGGAGCTGGATTGAAACAAGATCGAGACATCCTACTGTCTTAAAAAATTAGATAATGTCGGAGAAGTATCTAAATAATAACATTCATTAAAATTTTAAATTATATAAATTATTAAATTTAAATTAAAAGAATACAAGTATATAAATTGCAATAATTTAAAATTAATTATTGAATTACATTAATTATAATTACAAATTATAATAACAACTATACATGATTTTTAGATTATAAGAATAGCAACAACAGGCAAGTCAAGCATAATATCAAATTATTGTTTTTCTAATTTAGTCGAGATATGCTAAGATAATTACTTTTTCAAAAAATAAAGCAAGAATATGATATAAATAAAAGTTATTAAATATATATATATAAAAATAAATTGTATTAATATAATTAATATATTATAAAGAAAGATATTGCCATGTTTACTCTATGTTATTAAAATTATCAATGTAAAAAACTTTAATTTTAAATAAGAATTGCATGTATTGAAATTATAAATTATATAATTAATATATATATATATAAATTGTATTAATATAATTAATATATTTAATGTATATTTTTAAAATAAATAATATATATTTATATATAATACTCAAGATGGGACAGGACGTCCCAGTAGCGATCTCATGTCCCACCCCGCCTCGAAACCCTTTCTTATCCTGTCCCGTTTAGCAAAGTAATATCTCAATTATTTTTAGATCGGGATGAGACCCATCCCAATATAATCGGAACGATACTGAACTAATCAGAATGGGTATAAGTTGAATATCCTTAGTTTTGGGCATGCTGGCAAATAAAAAAAAAAGTAAGAGAGTTTTCAGTGCATTGGCAAAAAAAAGGCAAAGAGAATGATAAATAAGGACTTTATAAGAACATTAATGTCAAATTAAAATTTTTCAATATTGACATTTTCAAATTTTAGTGCTCCTTCTATCATGTTTCATTACTGAAGTTCCTAATTTGATATTAATATTTTTATAAGATTTTTACTTGTCATTCTCCAAAAAAAAAGAGAGACAATTTTCAAGGTAAAAATACATATCAATAACAAAAAAATGTTAATAATAGCTCAAATTAGGGTGTGGGTTGAGATTTACTCTTTTCATTAAAAAATATAAGACATTTTTTGTTAAATCTTACTTTTTAATAAAGTAATTACTTGTTTTCAAACTAATAATATTTGTTCATATTTATTCCTATTTAATATGATGTTTCACTTTAAAATAAATATAAAATAATTTATTTAATAGGGGCGTTTTTGAAAAAAGGTAATAGTTATACCTTGACAAACAAAAAATGTATTACATTTTTCAACATTCAACTTCTTAAAATATATTTTATATTTTTTAATAGAAGGAATAAAATTTACCATAATAATAATTAATAATGGTTAATGACAACCACGAGTACCACACGATACTAATACTAATACTAATGGTAAAAATAAACACTGGTTTTTAGCCTTGGAGTTACTTTTTCTTTTAATGTGGAGGGACATTCTTCTCCACGGAATATTTGCAATGAAGCAAGACATATAGAATATACTATTATTTCGTAAACACTATACATTCTTTCACTGAACATATAAAATGTGTTTTTTTTTGGCTTTTATTTGCATTCATTTTAAAAATCGAGGCCATGTTCCGCCAACAACCTAAACTAGACATTTGTTTGTTTGTTTTTTTAAACGAGAAACAGCATATGGAAACGAGGATATTTGCCTATGTTTAAACATTCCAAGTAATGGTTCCAGTATTTAGTTGAAGTGTCAAGGTTATTTTAACCTCCTAACTATTTGAAAAAAGCCGTTGAAGACGGTCAATTTTGCAATGCATATTAACTTTAAAAATTCAGTCACCGTTGCCCCGCTATTTTTTCATCAAGTGGGTCTCACACTTGATTTATTTCATATTCTTTATTATAAAATATTTACTTGTGAGTCTTATAATTCATTTTTTAATAATTTTCATGACATAAAAAAAAAAATCTCTCCCCCTCCCCTCAACATTCTCTTTCCCTCCTCTTGCTCTTCCTTATCTGTTATCGTCGTCAACATTCCATAAAAGCTCAATAAAAAAAAATAATTTTTTAACCCTCTTTTGTTTAAGAGGAGGAAAATAGAGAGGAGGGAGGAGAGGAGCATCCTCCAAATTGAAAGGAGAGGGCCTCCCTCCCTTCCCTTTATCCCATCCAATGTCTGGTGAGTAGAGGGGAGATTTTTTAATTTTTTTTTTTCTCTCCTCTCCAATCAAATACTACCTTAACAATTTTTTTAACAAAAGTTCTTAAGAAAATGATAATTAAAGATTTATATATAAAATTTATATTAATTAAAATTTAATTGTTATTAAAATTTAAATGAAAAATAAGTTTGAGTAATTTGTTGTTTTAAAATAAATTATTGTTAAAACCTAAATGAATATATTTATTAATGAAAAATTAATTTAAATTAATAAATATTTATTTAAATTTTAAGAAAAATTAATCAGTAATTAATATAAATTTTATATAGAGGCACTGGTTGTTATTTTTTCAAAGCTCATCTTCCTTCTCAAGCTTCTTCCCTGTGCCCCCCATTGATTCCTCTAGCTATTTCTTCGAAATTTTTATCGTCACTTTCCCGTTCTCATTCTTACTTTTATAAAAAGGAGAATAAGTCCGCAAAAGCTGCTTCTTCTTTGGCCATGCATGACCTTTGTCAAATACCTTGCTTGATCTTGTCGACAACAATCTCAACGAACCCTAGTCATCGCCGGCCCAGTCCATCGACGATGGCTTCCGGCAACAATTTCCCATGTTTATCTGATGATCAGCTGTATATACCTTACTGAATCTGAACGATGCTGGAAATACATATACGAGTGCGCGCGCGTGAATTGAATGAAATGTTGGAATGAGAGAGGATAAAGAGGCGGGGAAGTCTGGGTATGAAGAGAAGAGGCGAAGGTGGGCTTTGTAGATCGGAGACATGAGAACGAGGTGCTACTTTGTATGACACGAGCTCATATATATATATATATATATATTGATATATGCAAAAGCTGCGGACCTACTGGTGCGATAGAAGGAGCAGTATGGGGTGCGGTAACAAATGGGGCAAGGGTTTACACCAACATTGTGAACTCAGATGGTAAGAATTTCAGCTTGATGCCATCAAACATGACGATGACGAGTGGTGGATGGGTGGCGATGAATGTGAGTAGTGAAGAAATTTTGTGGGCGACAGGGACCCTCATCGGAATTACACGAACGGACTAGTTAGTTAAAGCCACAAATGGCGTTGTGCTCGCAGAGAGAGAAGGAGGAGAGGACGAGAGGAGGGAACAAGGATGAAAATTTATATCGCAAACTTAAATTATAAACTTGTAAAAATTTTATTTTTATTAATAAATAATTATTAAAAATATAATTATAATTTAATTTAAATATATTAAAAATATAAATAATTAAAATTAAAACCATCTGTATTAATAAATTATCATATATAAGGTATGAGAATTTTAAAATAAGAAAATTTATTTTTTATTTTTTTATTAATATTAATTTTTGCATTTTAAGTTTTTATTTTTTTTAATCAAGTTTTATATCTTTTATGAACTAAATTTTTTATAATATATACTTAACTCAATTAATTTAAAAAAATTTGACTAATTTAATAAATTTAAGCAAATTTGCATCTAGTCCGAATTTATAAATTAATTAATACGATTTTAAAAGTCATAAACTTAAAAATAATAAACTTATGAGTTTAACTGAATTTATATCTAATTTGAGTTTATGAATAAGTTGATATAATTTTATAAATTAAAAATATAAAAATATTAAATTCGTAGAGTTAACTTAAAAATTTAACAACCATGAAAAGGAGAGAGAGAAATTTTTTTATATATCATAAAAAAATATTAAAAACAAATCATGGGACTCACAGGTAAATATTTTATAATAAAATATAAAAAATGTAAATGTAAGTTCCTCTTGATGAAAAATTAATATCAAATTAGGTATAATAAAATTTTTAAAATTGAAAGATAAAATTAACTTTTAATTAAATTTAGGATCTTCAATGATTTTTCATGTTTAGTTGAGGTTTTTAAATTTAAATTAAAATAAAAATTTTTCTTTGTTTGGACAGTATCTTAAGAACCGAGGACATTTTTTGAAAATAATCTAAGTTAGGGAATCATATGATGATGATAAATTTAATCTGCCAACATAATATCATACGTGTAAATGCAGAGAAATATTTATAAGAAATATAGGCACACCAATTTTTTTTTTATGCGAGTTTTACTAAAATTCTCGCGCATGTCATTGCTAACTTGACAATATTTGGACTTGGAATTTCTTAAATAATGGAACGAGGGATTTTACTCAAGCACAATTATTACGAAGGAGAAGAATCAGTTGTAAAGATCATTTACAATTTTACATAGTGGATTTGACCAATCAAACTTGATTTGCATCGTGTGCTGCAAGGTCAAGCCCAAAATCATGGTAATCAGTATCCGGGCTCGAAACTAATCTCGGAGAAATTTCAAAACCTGGTGTATTCTATAATCGACATGGCCAATCCCTGGAAGACACTGATTTTTTGTTCAATTATTCCTTCAAGCAAGCTTCACAGCTTGTACCTAGAGGCAGGGATAAAAAAAAGGGAGGGGAAAAATTGAAAAGAAATAAGAAAGAGGTGCCTTTCCCTCTTCATCAATCAAAAGGAAATACTTTTCTTCAGAGTCCACCAGAAAACATGCCCAGCTAGCCAAAGCTTGAACCTATCATCCCCACTCCAGCCCAGCACGTGCAATCTCTCTCTTCCCTGGACAAGGCACGAAGTTCTCGTCTTTTTTTCCATTGCTATACTTCCTAACGCTGCCATTGTCTGGGCGTCTCTCAAGTCTCACCCTCTGGATTTTTGGGTAAGGGGTGGAGGAGAGAGGGAGAGAGGTGTGCTCCCGTATGGACGTAATGATGTGATTTGACGTAGAGAGTTTGATCCCAAATGCACCCTTACAATCGGCTACCCAGTAGTGGCCACTCCACGCCTTCGCCGCCTCAGTCGCCACGTCGGTCTCCGAGGTTCCGCCACAGCCGTTCTAAAACTGGTCGGTTCTCTCCAGGACAGCCTACTGGTCGCACAGTTGCCCAACGCCTCGCCTGGATCTTTCTATCCGTCCTACTACGCCGTCAGGGGATTTTCCTCTTCGCTCCCCTCATTTACATCTCCGGCATGCTTCTATACATGGGCACTGTCTCATTCGATGTCGTTCCGGTTATTAAGCACCGTCCGGCTCCTGGGTCTGTGTACCGCAGCCCGGAGCTGTATGCGAAACTCCGGCCCGAGATGGATGCAGATAATTTTTCTGCCGATGCGGTTGGTATTAGTAGATTTGCTTTGCTGCTTCTTCTTCTTGTCTTTGCAATGGCTTTTGTTTATGGTGCGTAACAGAGATTTTGACTACTTTTCTTTCGGTTTTCTTGGATTCATTATGAACGGTGAAGAATTACAAGGCTTTCTTGATATTGTGTCGATCTAGTAATTGGGATCTTACTTTATTTCCTATATTCAACTTCAATTGTTTGTGAATGTTTTGAGGCTAAGAACGGAAAGGCTCGGACGTTACTCTAGTTTTCTTGCATTGAATGTCCTGAATGTTTCGATGATCTCTTTGTTTTGCATAGCTTTAATATAGAATTCATATGTGGCTTGAGCCATTGTGCGCTACATCTGTACTTGATCATCATTATAGGCTTTCTGGTAGAGTTTCTATGATTTCCTAAAGGAAGAGGAGTTATTTTTTATCCTGTCTGAATTCATTGGCTAAACCTCTGCGGCAAAGGAACTAACTCACTGGTTAAGCTCTTAAAACTTTCCAATAACAGATTTTCTGATGAAGGAAATTGGTGCCAGGCCAGGCCATCTCGTTTCCTCTATGATGCTCTTTTAGCTGCTGGGAAAGTTATTTATAATTCTTCTAGTGAAGAAAAGAAAATTAGACACTAAATAGGAAGCTTGGAACTGATTGCTGTGCTTGTGGAAGAATTTTTCTTGCTTGCCATAAAAAATGTAATTGGAACGAGTAGGAATTGATAAGTCTGGCTACTCTTGATTCCACTCGCTCTGCATGTAATTTTCTTGAAGTAATTGTCTGGGGCACATCAAACAGAAAATTTAATTTTATGTCAAGTAGGTATTAGAAATTTTAGATGTTCCTTTTTAGCTTATGAGGGTGAATTGCTCATGTCTGCTTACTTGGAAAACATTTCATGCGTAGTCACTAAATCTGTCATAGGATTTCCCTTTCTTAAAATTTTGAAGTAACATGGGGAACCAGAACCTAAATAATACTAGGCCTTTTCTTTTAAGTTTATGAGCTCTGTAAGGGTCCTCTTGGAATTTATCTTGCTATGATTCTCAGTTTATAGAATTCTCTTATCTCTAGCTCACAGGCATCTCTTTTATTTGGATTACTATTTTCCTTTTTTAATGTTATTTTTCTTTTAAATTATTGAGTCTTCTAAGTTAATTCTAGATCTTGATGCTTTGATTTTGGTTTTTTGGTTCATTTGGTTACTTTTAGTTATACAAGCTATTAACTTCCTTTCAGATATCAACAATATGGAAGAATTCCTATAAAGGTGGTGAGTGGAAGCCATGTGTCAACAGATCTTCAGAAGGTATGATTTGCTTAGTCATGATACCCTGCTAATGAGAACAGTTTTTCCTTCTTATTTTCAATCTCTTCTCTTTTTATGATTACTCGGGTGCTTTTGGTATCATTAACAATGATTTGTCATAGGAGATTTGTATTTTTTATGCCACCCTTTTAATAGAGTACCTTGCACGAGGTTGCATCTTGTTGGAGTAAAAAGAAGAAACAACCAGTTTACTGTTGTCCTTCATTTGCAGTTCATACAATATTATCTTTTCATATACGTTTTCTATCTCTTTGTCTCCAGAGTGGATGTAAGCTGTTCTTTATTGTCCATAAGAAAATTCACTTGTGTCAGTGTGTGGAAGAAAATATGTCTGGCTGTTAAGTCTTCACTCTTCATTGACTGGGACATAGTTTGAATTTTAAGGAATAATCAGATTGGAAAACTTCCTCTCTATGCGTCTCTTGCATCCTATTTTTGTAGTTGATTCTTATTGCGGAGGGTTGAATCTTCCCTTAAAAATGTGGTTGATATAAACTAAATTTCAAATTTTCCTGTTGCTGCATCTTCGGCTAAATGGACAAATACAAAGGATATTCTCTAAAACGATGAAGTCGATGGACATAACTTTTTCTCTGGAAATTTTTTTGCTATATATCCAGTGGTAGTTATAGAGGGAGAAAACGCCCTGACATAGTGTCTTTTCCTTTCTTGACAGTCCTTGCTTTTAGCTACATCAGTTTATGACAAAATGTCTTCTAGCTTCTTGATTTTGTCCTTTTACTTTGATTTTTTTTTTTGGGGGGGGGGGAGCTGAAAGCATTAACAATGTGAGTTATTTATACATTCTTCATTGATTGCCTTTAACTGTGCTTGCCGCAGTTTATTCGTCTTATTTAATTTTAATAATGGAAGGTATATTTATATTTTTGGGTAGTGTGTGGTGTTCTGTTACATTTTAATGGGTATTTCTTTTATTGATTATAGGTCTACCAGAGTCAAATGGTTACATATATGTGGAGGCTAATGGTGGCTTAAATCAGCAGAGGACATCAGTTAGTGTCTTCTTTTCATTCCTTGTTCTTGTTTGAAGTTTTATTGGTGGTTATTGAGATTGTTGTTTGACTTAAGATTTCTTGCTTTGGTACCCCTTGACTTATCCTTTTTATGCATGTTGTAAATGCCTCATAGATATGCAATGCTGTTGCTGTGGCTGGCTATCTCAATGCTACACTTCTGATCCCCAACTTCCATTATCATAGTATATGGAAAGATCCCAGGTTTGTCAGTTTTCTATCTTTTACTCCTAGTTTTGTGAGTAACTGATTAATGTCGGCTGTTGGCATAGTATATATACTAATTGACTTTTGATTCAATGATGATTGTATATGTATATAAAACATATCTTACTGTGACTATTGTTAAGTTAATTTCTTTTATTCTACATCCCTAATTGGTGATTGAATCTAGGCTTTTTATTCATATCAGATGACTTTGTCTTTGTCTTAATTCTTTTTCTTCACTTCTGTTTTCTTCTAAATACAGTATGTGTTAGATGGCATTAGTAATTTAATAGTTGGTGCTAGTAACTTCCCCCGTCCTTTGCCTTGACTCTCTCTCTCTCCCCCCCCCTCCCTCTCTCTCTATATATACTTGAGAGCACTCACACTCTTCTCTAAAAAAGATAAGTTTTGCTGCTCATTTCTCAGATACAGCCGTGCCACACAGTTTGTGTGTGTTTATTGCTTCGTCAGCAATAGACAGTAAGTTTTTTGTTGTAAGGAGACAGGGGAAATGTGATTCTCAGTGTATGTTGGGTAGAAATGGGCATATGCATGCCACTTGCTAGGCTCTGATTAAGAGCTGATGAAACCCAATGATTTTCAGAAGTTGTATACTTGAATGTTCTCTTGTTGGACTTAGAATTGAAGGTTTTTTTTTTTTTTTTCCCTGCTTCTGCTTTGAACTTACATCAAGTCAGGCTCTCATTATGCAAGTTATTGGGTGATGACGTGTGGATAATCCTATATAATATAGAGATTTTCATTTTGGAGTTTGTTTTTCTTCGTTATTTCATGAAGTAGAAATTTGTGTCTAATCTTCCATATTCCATACATAATTACAAATGCTTTACTTATTATGACAATTGGATTTGATCACTAAGATGCCCTATGAATTGTCTTGTAGCACTACATGTTCAGATTTTCATTATGTCAATTATGTAAGAAAACAAGCATTGTAAAATCTAGGGTAAACATAACTTTTGGTCCCTGTACTTTACTCACGTTTTGCTTTTGGTCTCTATATATTTTTTTCGATATTTTAGGTCACTAAACTTTTGTTTTCCATTATTTTCGGTTCCTTTATGAGCAAAGTATAGAGACCTTGGAAGGATAAAAAACAATGAAAAACAAAAGTGTAAGGATCTAAAACATTGAAAAAAAAAAGTATAGGGACCAAAAGCAAAATGCGAGTAAAGTATAGAGATTAAAAGTTATGTTTATCCTTTTTTAAATAAAGTCATTTACAATATTTATTAGAAGGAATTCTTTAACCCCCTTACTTGTTGTTGAACATCATTGTTGGTTAAGCTGTTGTGTTAGACGGAATATTTTATTGATGCTCATAAAGTTCCAATGTTGTTTATAATTAATTGATAGGTATTTCTAGTTTCTTACCAATACTATTAAACCGTCAAAGTGTTTCATTTTAAAAAGAATATACTGATTATGTTTTACTTGTCCAGCAAATTCAGGGACATTTACGATCAGGAATATTTTATCAACACCTTGAAAAATGATGTACAGATCGTTGACAAGATTCCTGAGTACCTAATGGAAAGATTTGGAAACAACATGACAAATGTTCACAATTTCAGGATTAAGGCGTGGTCATCTATTCAGTATTACAGAGATGTGGTACTACCAAAGTTACTTGAAGAGAAGTGAGTATATGATATTTGTTCTATGAATGAATTGCTTATAGTTCTCTTTAATTTTCTATTAACATTTTGGGGTTGTTGGAATTTGACCTTGGTATTTGAAAAGGAGAGATTAGTTCATATTCCTCAAAAGAAAAGGTCAATACGTTGGCACAATGCAGGAAAGGAAAGTATTATTGAGATTTTCATGAATTTACTTCTGATTATTGAGTACTTCTTCACTATTAGTTTTAATTAGCTTCGGAAGAAGGAGTGTGAAGCTGTGGCCTTTTTGTTGTAGTATGATGTGTTTAGCTTGAGCCGAATGGTGCAACACTTACACATGTACGGATGGTGTATTTTGCACATATTTGTGCATCTTAAAACTTTGTCCAGTGACGCTTTTTGATTGTCTAATATGAATTTGGCTTGAATTTAATGATATGCCCATCATGGTCACATAATTTTTTTTGGATGAACAAGGAAAATGTGTTATATGAATTACTTGGTAGTTAATTGATCGTTCATTCATTTGTTGTCACTGTTTGCATATGGGAGGTGTTATTTGATTTTCAGATGGATTTTTTTTGTTAGGATGCTTGGTGATATCATCATATATATGTGCGTGGCTCATGATTCCATGACTATAACTTGGATGGGGGCTGAATAGTATATTCGTCACATCAGTTTAAAACTTTGTCTGTTAAATGATGCAGGGTGATAAGGATTTCTCCTTTTGCAAATAGATTGTCGTTTGATGCTCCTCCAGCAGTCCAACGGCTTAGATGCTTAGCAAATTATGAGGCTTTACGATTTTCTAGTCCTATATTGACCATGGGCGAATCTTTGGTTGCAAGAATGAGAGAGCGTAGTAAAAATAATGGTGGCAAATATGTCTCAATACATCTCCGTTTTGAAGAGGTTGGTTTACATCATATATGAATGTTGATGCTTAACTTCTATTTATGTACAACAACATTACATCATGATCTTAGCTTCAACTTGTCACGTATTTTCTATGCGCAGGATATGGTTGCCTTTTCTTGTTGTGTTTTTGATGGTGGAAAACAGGAGAGAGAAGACATGATTGCAGCAAGGGAAAGAGGCTGGAAAGGGAAATTTACAAAACCTGGACGAGTTATACGTCCTGGAGCAATCAGGATCAATGGGAAGTGTCCCCTCACTCCTTTGGAGGTGATTCCCTCCTTAAATTAATCTGTAAGACGAGGAAGAATGTTTTGGGCAATAGTTCTTTCCTTGTAGAAATTAACTAGCTTGCCCGTTGTTCTATCTTGTTTCATGTATTTTATGTCACTTACCACTTTTATGCGCATCAAATTTGTTATATAACCCCCCCCGGGGGAACTGTGCTATGTTTGAATTATGGTCAATGATTCCTTCTTACTCTTCAGGTTGGCCTGATGCTTAGGGGAATGGGTTTCACTAAGAACACTTCTATCTATTTGGCATCTGGAAAAATATACAACGCTGGGAAGACAATGGCCCCACTTTTGGAAATGTTTCCTAATTTGCAAACTAAGGAAACTCTGGCATCTGAAGTGGAGCTTGCTCCATTTAAGGTGGAGTTTCTGCTCTTACTTGCACATTTACTTTATGCTTGCTTAAGTTTCAATGTGTCGTGATGTTGACTTGAGTTATTTCTTCTAGAATTATTCTTCCAGGATGGCTGCCATAGATTACACCGTTTGCCTTCATAGTGAGGTGTTTGTCACAACTCAAGGTGGTAACTTCCCTCATTTTTTGCTGGGCCACAGAAGATACTTGTATGGTGGACACTCTCAGACAATTAGGCCTGATAAGCGGAAATTAGCAGTACTCTTTGATAATCCCAACATTGGGTATGCAGTGTGTTAATTGAGAATTTTTGCTCAACTTTTTGGATGGCAGGAATCGTTAAGATTGCTATTTCACGTTTCCTATAGAAGATAAAATGGCCCATATATTTCTTGTTGACAATATTTACAAGTTTAGTGGTATGTTGATGTTTAACTCTCGAACCTCTTAAGCATCTGGGCTATTGTGGATATATTGTCTAGTCCACCAAGAAATTTCTTCTCTTTTTGAATACCAGAAAGAAATATCTTCTCTAATGAAGAATAACTCCACTTAAACAACTGTTACAATTACAATTGCGTGGGGAGATACTTCTGAAGTTTGAGAGGGAAAAAGTTTTAGTTATGCTGCCTAAATTGTTAGACCCCCCTATGCTAAGTCTATAGCTAGCATTACCTTACAATTGTTAAATATTTGAACGTTTCTAAATTTCTTCCTTTGGGAACTATGTACCTTGTTAATGACGCTATTAACTTCTTAGAACTGCATGAATTAGAGTTGTTCAGGGAGGTAGTTATGCGTTATTGGCAGATGACGAGATTTTTATCTTGGCAGAAAGTATCTCATCAGTTCCTGTATGATTAATTTTCAGATGGAGGAGTCTCAAGCGTCAACTGCTGAGCATGAGATCACACAGCGATTCAAAGGGATTTGAGCTCAAAAGACCAAATGACTCGATTTATAGCTTTCCGTGCCCGGATTGCATGTGCCGTGCAAATAAAACTGATGGTTTGAGATCTTCATCCGCAACTTGATCTATTCACAGAAAATTTGAGGGCTATTTCTCTCACCAATATCACAGAGCATCATGCTAACTGCGTTTATCTGGAATTTGAATTACTTCATTCTTTCCGCTTTCCTTATGGGGGAGAGGGCATACTTTCAGTTTTCAGATCTTAAAGAATTTTGTTGGGGTTCGGTCACATTGATCAGATTTGTTCGTGGGATTGCATTTTGAGGGAGTGACATCTTTTTTCCACATTTGGTGCCAACTGAGAACAGAGTGCAAATTTGTTCCTTGGCAATAATCTCTCTCGGAGCATTGACGTTGACCAAGCATTTGATTATTTCACATACATGAATTAGCAGCTTCTGTATCTAGCAAGCTTTGAGACGACGAACTCACATTCCTTCACACCTGCCTGTACATTTCCTTATCAACAAAACTTTTTAAAGCTGTAGCAACAGATTGTGACTGTACATTTATGAAATTCAGGGTTGTTTGGCGCTTCGTTGTTTTGTTGTTAGGTTTGGTTCTTGCTTCCAATTTTGTAATTTGCTTGCCTTCAGATTGAAGGCCCCATTTTTAGCTGTATACTTGTATACGATTACATTTGTTATTCTTTCACATTAGTGTCCCATTTTTTCGGGGATGAATGATAGTTTCAGTGAATATAGTTAGTTAAGCCATGGTTTTTTTTATTTTAAATATAACCGCGCACACATAACAAAAATCAAGTTGTGTTTAAAATTATAAGGTTTTTATAATCAGGTAGAGAATTATCAATAATCTTAATGTGTAAGTTGTTTCAAGATGGATGTCAAGCAAGTAGGTTGACACATTTGTTACCTTCTCTAAAAACGTAATGGAAAATGATCATCCAACTTTTTATAATAAAGTTTTTAATATTTTTAATGATGTTAAAAAATAGGTGTATTTTAAAGTAGTTGTGCTCAATGAGTACACTATGAATTTTAAATAACTCATATATAAAAGGTTTTTAGGTCTTGTTAAATTTCATTATTTTAGCCTCAATTTTGTAAAAGATTTTTGGCAGAAATTAGTCAAATCAATTATATGGATATTTATTATTAATTTAAAAGTAAATTGGAAAAAGATTTTAGGATTGACTTCCAATTTACTTTTGGTCAATTCAGTGAACTCATACTTATAAAAAAAAAGTAATTATATATATATGTGTGTGTTTATGTATGTATGTATGTATATATAATGGGCAAGTTTAAATTAATTCTTTAAACACAGTTAATGATATTTTCTCCGCCGGAAGTGTGATGCTTCGGGCTGATTCAATGACGTTTATTGAGATTGTTCCTCTCAAAGTGAAAAAAATTTAAATGCTTCTCCACAAGCAAGAGAATCCAACCGCAATTTTTTTGGCCCAAGATCTAACATGAATGGCTTTTTGCATTTTATCCTTTCAAGTCTTAGGGTATTTCTTGAGTTAAGGTTGATTTTGACCTTCGAATTTTTTATTGAAAATTGTTGAGAACTTGAGGTAATTTTTTTTAAAATTATTTTTTTAAGAAAAAAAAACCTTCTATTAATTATCCATTAGTTTTTTTATTTTTTATTAACATGATAAGTATATAAAACCTATATATAATATGATAAATAAAATTTTAACAATATTTTATAATATTAATTTATCTTTAATATTTTTTTAAAATGTTAGGTATTTTGAAATTTTTTCAGAGATCGACATTTTAAAATTTTATTAAAATAAAATTAATAAATATTAATAATATTTTAATATTTAATAATAAATATTATTGTTTATAAATATTTATTTAAAATTTATAAATTATTTAAATGTTAAATTAATTTTTTTAAAATTTATAAATAATTTATAATTTTTTATATATTAATTATATTTTTAATATTAGTTAAGTTTTTTGAGAGTCCACCTCTTTTGGATGGTGAAACATGTGACGTACACCTTTCTATTTTGATTTTTGACAAGGATTGAGCCTGCACAATCTTTCCATTTTGCTTCTTCTGACCGGGAAAGAGTAGAGCAGGGACCAACGGATCAGGGAGAACGCGGACGAACGCCATGGGAGTTCTAGGAAACCTTACTCCGGATCAGCTCCATTTCTTCAATTCTCAAGGTAACGGGCACCTGCTGGCTTTAGAAAGCAAAATCCATTTTCATCTTTTCTCCTGTCGTAGGTTTCGCGAAAGCATGATTGTTGAAGAATCAACTCCTTCTTTTCTGCGTAGGTTATCTTGTCATTGAATCGTTTGCGAGTTCCGATGATATTGACGCAATGATGAGGAGAATGGAGCAGTTACTGGATGAATTTGATTGCACGTCCACCGCCTCAATTTTCTCCACTAAGAATCAGGTTACTTATTCGGAGATAATTGGATTTTGTTGCTTTTTTCCTCATAGACTTGGGTTTTCATCTTAAATTGAAGTTGCTATCATGTGAATTTGTTTTCCTTTCTTCCTCTCTTCTTTTTCCCCAGCAAAAGCTGACTGACGATTACTTTTACGAGAGCGTGGAGAAAGTTTCGTTTTTTTTCGAGGGTATTGAATCGATTGTTCCTTTAAGTTTTACAGTAACTGAGTTTGATAAGTTGGAGGCATTGATCGGCGCGTTGTTTACTTATTTTCTTTGTTTCTCGTCTGCTAGAGAAAGCGTATGGGGATGATGGGAACTTAAAGCAGCCGAAGCAACTTTCCATCAATAAAGTTGGTCATGGTATGCGTTAAATTCTCGCTTGTTCTGTTACGTCAATGAATAAGTTATTTTATGCCAAGGGGCATATCTCTCCGTAAATGCGTAATAGTAATGGTGACCACACAATTCCCCTGTAAAAATTCCTTTAAATATCTAAGTTTTCTTTTTCTTGTGGATCGTCTTTTTTTTTTATATTGGGTGCGGTATGATCCTGTACAGCGCTTCATGAGCTTGAGCCGGCATTCAGAAGGTTTTCTTGTTCCGAGAAAATTTCTAGTTTGTTGTCCTCGTTGGGGTACAAGAGACCAGTGATTATGCAGTCCATGTACATATTTAAGGTAGTTTAAGATCTTCTGTCTTTAAACCTCTTCAATTTCTGTTTATATGATTGAATAAAGGGTAATGAATTGTGACCGAATGAGTTTCAAACATTTGAGTTTGTTACTTTGGGCTATGCCTTTTTTTTTTTGGTTAGAAAAAAAGCCAATTTTATTAATCATCCAAAAAAAAAAAATTGCCATCACTAATAGCCGAAGCCAAAAAAACACTAAAACAAAAAAAAAAACCTAAGATGCAACATAACACACAACTCACAAAATAAAAGCGCAACGGCAAACCAGAAACAGTATCAATATACTCTAGGTGTAAAACCAAAACCAATGCCCTCTTTATTTTAAAAGGAACTAGCAGAAGCAAAAGAAAAATTAGGACAATTAGTAGCTTCCAAACCTGCAAGTAACAACCCAGACAAAGAGGATGTAGTTATAGAGAGCCATCCCATTGGGCATATCTTCTTAGAACCCATTACTGCTAAAAAGTTAGCAGCTTCATTACTTTGGTGAGCCACCGAGGAGAAACAAACATCTTGTATGATTCTTTAGCTACAAGAATAACCTGCACAATTCCAAAACATTTCCAATCATAATGAGAATTAAGTTTACCTGATAACATTCAAAAGAGTATCTCATAGTCCAATTCCACAGAGACCATTTGCTAGAATAATGCTAAGCCACCCTCAAAACTTCTATAGCAGCCAAGCATTCAGCCATGAGATTGGAATGAGCAACAATATTCTTCCCACAACCATCCAAGAAATGCCTAAGTTCATCTCTGCAAACAAGACCAATACTAGACAACTTCAAGACACTATTAAAAGAGCCATCAACATTAATCTTAACTCCAACTGGTAAAGGTCTCCTCCAAGGCAAACTTTTATTGGCTGACTCCATATGCGCATCATTTTTCTTCAAGTTATGTTGGAGCTTTAGATTTTTACATTCATTCACAATCCTAGAGGCATTTATAATAACCTTCTCAGTATTCATCCTTTCCCCATCAAATATCCAACTACATTTACTTTTCCAAATTTCTCAACAAATTGAAGCAACAAGTGCCCTTTCAAAAGCCCTGATCACATTATTATCACAGAAAATATTAATCAGCCAAGTAGAGCCAGTAGAAATATTACTATCAGATATCAATATTCCTAAACTACAGCCAAACCAACAAGATCTTACCCAAGGGCAGTGGAAAAGCAAATGTTCAGTTGTCTCTTCCTCCTTGCAGAACATGCATAAGGAGTCAGCAGCACACTTCCTTTTGAATAGGGCAACTTTTGTAGCAATAGCACCATTCAATGCCCTCCAAATAAAATGACAAATCTTAGGAGGAACTTCCAAACCCCAAACTCTATTCCATAATTTTTTAGAAGGCCTAAAGGAAGAACTAGGCCCACCCTTCTGTTTCTCCTTCTCCTTCTCCTCATTTTCAACTCTTCCTAGATGATATCCCAACTTCACAATATATTCACCATTCCTACAAGGCATCCAAACTAATCTATCTTCATCAACCAAAGGTGGCAACCTCACCTTTAGGATTTCATTTTTTTCCTCAACAGAAATTAAATGTTCAATTGAACTTAATTAAATCCCATTACCTGTGAGATATCAATTTAGCCACCTTCTCCATCTCCATATCTTCCCCAGCACCTCCACCTTTTAATTTCACGCCCTTCAATCCAAGAACCCATGGATCTAACCATGAGTTTGCAGACATACCATTATTAATCTGCCAAACAAATTTTTTCTTTAACAAAGCACAACCTTCAAGGATGCTACTCCAACACCAAGATGGCTTTCTTCCCTCTTTGGCCTCATAATGTGTTTTTAGGAAAATACTGCCCTTTCAAAATCCTTCACCAGAATTCATCCAGATTTTGAATCAAGCGCCAGGCTGTTTTTGCAAGCGTAGCAGTATTAAATGTAGTCCCATCTTTATTTTCCAAGCATAGTAAAGAGTTTGTAAAGTCCCGAAAAATCAAATCACCTTCATTTTTCAACTTAACTAGCAAGTCCCATCTTCTCCAATGTATCCTCCCTCCACCATCCTCTCCATTGCCCCACCAAAAATCAAAAAGCAATCTATCTAACTTTGTACAAGTTTTAATTGGAAATGAGAAGCAAGCCATCGAATAAACTGGAATATCGTTAGCTACTGCTTTAATAAGAACTTCTCTACCTAAAAAGGTTAATAATCTTTGCCTCCAACCCTGAATCTTCAACCCAACCCCATTTCTCACGAAAGCAAGTGAAGCAGCCTAAGACTGGCCCCAAATAACGGGAAAACCACGGTATTTATCCAGTTGATCTGCATTAGAAATTTGAAGAACAGCAGGAAATTCTTCTCTTAAGTCAGAATCAGCATTAGAGGAGAAAAACAGACAGGATTTTTCCAAATTAATTTGCTGACTAGAAACAGCATGATAGATGTCAATTATTTTCTTCAAAATCAGACAATTATTCTTTTCTGCTTTCATTAAAAAGAGAGAATCATCCGTAAAAAATAAATGGAATAACACAGGGCACCCCTTTGCCAACGTTATTCCTTCAAATCCCCTTTTTGAACTTGATAAGATACCATTTGAGACAACACTTCAGCAATTATAATAAAGAGAAAAGGAGAAAGAGGGTCTCCTTGCCTCACATGTCTTTGTGGCTTAAACTTGTCAATACTCTTATCAGATGTCAAGTCAAATTCAACAGAAGAAACACATTTCATAATCCATCCAACCCATTTCAAATCAAAACCCATATGAATTAGCATAGCATGCAAGAAATCCCATTCAGCACGGTCATAAGCCTTGCTCATATTAGCTTTCACAGCAAATTCAACAGTTTTACAATTTGTCCTACCTTTCAAATAATGAAAGGCTTCATGAGCCACAATTATATTGTCATGTATCAACCTGCCAGCAATAAATGCATCTATTCATCACCCCCTTATCCTATTAGTCAAAATTTTTGAAATAATCTTGTAAACAACATTACAAAGACCAATAGGTCTAAATTGATTTTCAGTTTCAGGCTTATCTACTTTGGGAATAAGCGCAATACTTGGTCAAATTAATATCATTCAACTCAATCCCATCATATAAAGACCGAAATACCAACTTCATAATCTCATATTTCACAGTAGACCAAGAAGATTGATAGAACAAACCTGTGAGGCCATCAGGACTAGGAGCATTAGTTGCATTAAGCTGAAAAACTGCCTCCTCAATTTCTGCTTCAGTCACAGCCATCATCAAAGATTGATTATCAGCATCAGTAATTACTTTCCTCGCATAATGCATAGCCTCATCCATTGGTCTCAGCCCAACTGAAGAGAATAAGTTTCTGTAATATGCTGAAAAAAATACTAGTAATCTCACTAGGCTTCTATAACCAACTCCCATTATCATCCGTCAACCTTAACACCTTATTCCAAGCCCTCCTCTGTAAGACAGTAGTGTGAAAAAATTTAGTACTACGATCACCAAAATTTATCCAATTAGCTCTAGCTTTCTGCCACCAATAAACTTCTTCCCTCCTCTAGGCCTCGTCAATTTGCCCCACAATTTTCCGTGCTTCTATCCTTGTGTTTTTCATCCTATATGCCCTCATTGCAAGCTTGCAATTTCACCATCAACTCATCAACAACCTTCCAATTATTTGGAAGCACTTCTCCACTCCACTTCCTCAATTCTTTCTTACAAGAATTTTGATGGACCACAATCTCTTGCCCAGTAATATCCTAACCAGCACACACTTTTCTCCAACCCTTAGAAACCACTTTCTCATTATCAGCATTTGAAACCCAGTTGGCATCAAATCGAAACCTCTTTTGTGATCTTTCATCAGTAAAGCAACAAACAAGAAGAGTGATATGGTGATCTGAGCCAAATCAGCTCTAAATGAAAAACCAAAACCTTGTCAAATTCCTCTCAAAACTCAAAATTACCAGGACACTATCCAACCTCTCCTTCATATGATCCTCCCCTAATGTGCCATTATTCCATGTGAACCTCGGCCCTTGGAACCCAATATCCATAAGACCACAGTCATAAAGAGTCAATTGATACCATCCTTAAAGCTCTCGGTCTACCACCAGCTTTTTCAAAAATATAAGCTAGATCATTGAAGTCTCCAATGCAACACCATGACTCCACCACACCTCTAGCCAATTATCTTAATCTGTTCCAGACCACCCTACTTTCCTGTTCAATAGGGTGACCATAAACAAATGTAACAAAAGCAGGCATAGAAATAGAAGATGAAGACAAATGCACATGAATTAAATTCTGAGAACTAAAAACCACGTCAATATCAATAAACCCATTCCACCAAAAAGCCAAACCTCCTGTTCTCCCTTTAGAATTAACATAAAAATCCTTCTCCATGTGACATCTCCTAATCTTTTTCAACTTTTTCTCCAACATCTTAGTCTCCATAGGAAAAATGATTGAGGGCTTGAATTTCCTATTAATCTCCTTGAGATTTTTAACTGTCAAGGCCACCCCCAAGCCTCAAATAAATAAAAAAAAAATCATTGAGGCTTATGCTCATTTATAATTGCACTCATTCCAGTTCTAATAAATGTTTTTTGTTCTGTTAATTTAACCATAGATGTCATCCACATCATCTATCCTATTTAGTTGTGCATTTCTTTATACAGATATCCAGGAATTGGAAAAACTCTGAAGAAGGAAATTTTTTGTTGAAACTAAGATATGAAAATCATTAGTCATTATTAACACGTGTTGACCATAATTATTAATAGTTTATAAAGGTGAAAGTCAAACAAAAATAAAAATCCTAACATGAGGTTTATTTAAATTATAACTGTTTTTTGGGGTGGTTTTGTGCCAATTGCCAGTACTGCATATTTGGACCAACTTGCTGAGAACTTGTTGGGTGATACTGATAAGATTCCAGATAATATTCCGATGAAGACTTATCCAAGAAGAAAGCGTCAAAAGATAAATTCAGATTGATTTCATTGTTTATTTTGCTCAATATTTGATATTTCTTTAGATTTAGTATTTATTTAGTCAGATTTTATTCTTTAGATTTTATTTAGATCTAGTAGTTTATCTATTTAGATTTTATTCAGTATTTTAGATTATAGGAGATATTATTTAGTTATTTAGTTATTTTAGATTACAGGAGATATTATTTAGTTATCTAGTTATCTAGATTTATCCATTATTTTAGATTGTATTTAGCATTATAAATATGACTAGCAACTTAGAAGCTATGATATCAGTTTATCAATAAAATAGTCTTTTAAACCCTTTGGAGATTCTCCTGAGCGTGGCTATTAAGAGAAATATAGAACGAGATTCTTGTTCTATATCATCCTAATAGAGTTATTCTTATTTTAGTTATTCTGAGCACCTATCAGATACTGATAGATTACTTCTTAAAATATGTTTTATCTGGAAACATGTTACATTTGCCAGCTGACCATTGTTTTTTTAAATAACCAATCTGCCGACTTGTCAGCAGGACTTGATCATAGCTCCTTGGTTTGCACTTTGTTTTTTTATCACAAATCCGTCATGAATGTTTCTAGATGCATTATGATTGTGTGGCTTTCGTTGTTGCACTTGGGGTTCCACTTCACAAGTCTAGTGCATTTTACAACAGTTTAAGTCTCTTCATTGACAGTTTGGTATTTGTATCTTTTCTAGAGAATAACCCTTCAAACAATCATGTGAGTTTAAGAATTAGTATTCCATTAAAGATTTTGAATATAATTGTTTTGAATCCTGAAATCCATAGGAATCAATTCACCTTGAGAATTCAAAACGGATGCTTTCATAATTGTGGAGTTATGGTGGTTAGTGTGCCAAAGATTCTAGTAGTGTTTGAAAAGAGTTTGCCTCAGAAATGAAACTCATTTGGCTCTTCGAAAATGTAATAAATCTAGGCAAAAACTTACACATGTATGAATATTTTGATGATTTGTTCTAATAGATTGAAAGTTTCTTTTGATTTACCATGCACGAAACTTGGTTTTTGCATGTTTCAAATTTGGCATTATTTCATGGCCCCTATGGTACATTGTGGGTATATTTTGTCTCTCTTAAACGTTTAACGTCGGATCTTGCCTCTGTTCTTATAGTAATAAATTACAATTACATTCAGCTGATTTTCTTATATCAATCATGTTCGAATGATTATTTTATCATTTTATGCTCCCAGCTAATAGTCACTGGTCTCAAATTCGTCAAAGTGAAGGATCAGGAACCTAATTGGTGACTTAAATTAGTTGAAAATGCTTAGGCTGTGCCTGGAATAGTTCTCTTGCTTTTGGTAGCTGATGCAATTGGTGCTGATGTTTAATATTTGAACTTCTGGTTTTTGTATGTGTGTTTAGCTGTCATATTTTATTCATGGTCATTATTATAGCCTTATCCGTGGAACTTTGTTGGCAGCAACCAGGCATTGGGGGTAAAGTGGTCCCTCACCAGGATAATTCATTTCTATATACTGAACCACCGACCTGCACAGGACTGTGGTTGGCTCTAGAAGATGCAAGCATAATCAATGGTTGCCTCTGGGCAATTCCTGGATCTCACAAAAGTAGCTGTTTCTTCCTTTATATTTTATTTCATATCATGTAATTGATTATGCTTTATGTAATCTGATAAAATTGTTTTGTTTTGTCCTCTTTCCCGCTTTGTTGTAGACGGGCTTGTTAGGAGGTTCTTAAGAGATGAAAATGGTGTTAAATTTGACTGGCCATCACCGTCTTATGATCAAAAAGATTTTGTGCCTATTGAAGTAAAAGCTGGTTCTTTGGTTGTCATCCATGGTGATCTTATCCATCAAAGGTTCATTTAAACAGCCCTTTCTTGCTCATGTGTATCATGAAATAATTTCCCTTGAAGTTGAATTTCTCTGACTATTTTCTAGTTTTGTTGTATGTGGATGACAGTTTTGAAAACCACTCCTCAAAATCAAGGCATGCCTACAGCTTGCACATAGTGGACACTGATGGCTGCACATGGGCACCTGAAAATTGGTGAGTCCAGATTGTAAGAATGTAGTGGCATCTTTGTTGATTACATAGTACTATAAACGGACAACAGGTTTTAAACAATGAAGAATAGAAGTTTAGAGGGTAATTTTCAGTTTTTAAAGTCGGGAGAGGTGTTTCTAAATGATCCAAAATTGGAGGGTTGTATTTGCTTTTTCTCTTTACAGAATATCAATTGTATGCTTTGTATGACAATTTAGTTTTCATAATCATGGGCGACTTAAATATCATGATTTCATGTACTTTATTTGTCAAAGGTAACGGCGTAACAAATGGCTCCAAATACCGTAAAGCTATATCAGAACTCTGTCAGCTTCTGGGTATTTTGTTGATGCGAATAGGAGTTTAAATTTTTAATAATCACTTTCTTTTGCCTGTCAATTCTTCCTTCAGGATCAGACGGAAAGTGGAGCCGGAGCCGCTCTTTGTGAGCCAATCTTGAAGCTTACATTGCATCAATGGGCGGTGCCATAATCAAGAATCTGCAAATAAAGAGCAAACAAAGAAAACTAGTAGTTTCAGTTGCCATATTTCATCATAACTAGATGTGGGTCCCGTACATTGCATTGAGTTTAAAATAAAATTTTAGTATTCATTACTTATGAACAGCATGGCTACCTATTAATTTTTTATGGATATATTGATATATTGACTTAAAAACTCTCTGAATGGAGGATTGTTTTCAGTTGTTGAAGTAATAATGTATTAATGTTAATCCCGTATATGTTGAAAATGGCTAGTAGAGTTTGACAGATTCATGTGCTACTTCTGCAGGATCTTGAAAAACTGAATAATCATATCTGGCATACTTTACAATAAATAACAAGCAACTTTTCTGTCTTGCTAAAGCATGGAGGCGATTTGGTTATCTTGTAATTTACGCCTCGTCGGTCTGTGCGAAGTGTGAAGTGAGAAGATAAAAAATAAAAATAATAATGATTGAACTAAGAAGGGTACAAGTACAATGCTGCCACATTCATTGATACTAAACATTTGTGCTTCGCACTCATTTGGATTGGGTCAATTTAAATGAATAAATTATAACAGGTTAGTTTTGACCACAAAAAAAAAATTATATGTTAGAATATTCAGCCATGACTATATGGGGAAAAGACTATACTCATGTAGTGTCAATATCCTATTTACCATGATTATGGGTATTTATGCGAATAGCAGGTGTGTCTAATCCGTAATGTTACTTGTTTTTATGTTATAAAAATCATATAGATAAGTTCTTTTGTTTATAGTTTGTGAACAGCGTAGCTTGTGTTATAATACTCTCTTCATTCTTATTTATAAGACAAAATTCCCTAATTTTTATGTACCGATTAAATTAATTTAACTAATTCATGTCTTGAACCTATTTAAGTTTTTTGAATTTATTTTTATTTAATATCCACTTTATTTTTAACCTTTAATGAAAAAAAAAACATTTCTAGCAAGTCTTATAAATAGATATTAAAAAAAAGATATTGAATACTCATCGAATCTTGTAATTTGTCTTATAATCACCTTCCAAAATTGTGTCCCACAAATAGAAACAGAAGGCGCAATGCAGATATATAATATCTATGGAGGGGTTTTAAGAAAATGTGAATCTAAGATTTTTGTTTGGTGTGATCATAAGCTAAAGAAAATAAAATACACAATTCTTATGGAAGTAAACATAATCTTATACTCAGCATGTTAATTTATCAGTAAGTGTACGTGCGATTGGGTTGGTATGACCACGGTATCTCATTCAATGAGCGACGAGCAAATTTTTCAAGGCGTCATGCTGACACATACGCTACTGTCTCCATTTATAATCCTGTCCGTAAACATGTGTCCAGGAGTTTGTACTACACACATTGCATGTAATTTTATTATTTACAGTTACTAGCTAAAAACCTCATACTAACTATCATTTCTGATTAATTTGTCACAAAATTCCATTAACGCCCCGTTTTGTATCCAAAAATACCTCTTGTGAGAACATTAATAATGACTGAAGTATGATTATCTATCTAATCAGTAGTCATGAAAGAAAGCAAAAAGGTAATGTTTTAGGGGAAGATGAATGTTGTGAGTATTGAGTGGTGGGTGATTGAGGTCGGGTAGAAAAACAACAGGGTTGAAAAAGGACACTGGCTTGACAGACACAAGCAGCATATGCTCCCAACTTTTCTGAGAGACAAATTAATTCATTTGAGGTGTTGATATTGCATTTGTAGGCTGTTTCTTGCTTTGCTTGCCTCATTCTCTCTCTCTCTCTCTCTTACGTACGTTGTCTCTGCAGACATTTCAGTGATGAGAATCTCGCAGCTTGCAGTTTTGCAAAATCATGGTCAAACTCTCCTCTCTTTCACTCTTCAATTATCACTGACTCATTGGCATACAAATGAAAATGACCACCTTCCCTCTTAAAAATGTTTCTTTTCAGTGATGTACCCTCTTTGTTTTTACGTGCTTATTTATTATGGCTGTAGAGTGTAGTGTAGGCACTTTTACTTCTTCTCACTAGCTAGCTCTGAGTGTAATTTTCTGCTGAGCAATTTTCTGCCCTTTCATTCTGCTCTTGATAATTCCCAAAAACTATCACAGTGACTAAGAAGGTGTTGAATTTCATAAATCACAATTCAATACTTAATATCATGACATGTGATAAAACAAATGTGTTCTCTTCCCATTGGAAAGAGTTTTCGCAACTGTTTAGGGTTCAAATTACAGTTTGCTACCACTTCCTCAATGTTACCATTGCAGTATAAGTTCCATTTTCTCATCATGCTAGTAATTTCAGTTTGTGACAGCTACATTTACCTGCATATGTACCTTGCATTTTCTAAAAATGACTATTCAAAACCTGATCATGTGCTGTCCCCAGAATTGAACAAGATAAAAACATATGCGTTAAACGATTATGGCCACACAGTCACTACTGCAGGCATGGTTATAGAAAATTCAGAGAAATTAAAACCTAATGTTTGCATTCACCACAAAAAAAAACCTTAGATTTGCAGGTCCCTATTAAAACATACACACGCATCCAAAACTAAAAGCAAATCAGTTCGACAACAATATTAAAGTACAAGAATTTTGTTTGTTATCAGTTTTTCAATAATGAAACTCTATTTCCAGGTAAAGTTTCTTCACATGTCATAAATCTATTGAAAAGATCTGATAACAAACAAACTATTCCTAAACTTTTTAGCCCTATTCTGGAACCACATGGCTGGTACCAGTTTCCTTCAATCTTTCAAAGGAAGAAACTCAAAAAACTGGATTGAGGTGGCAATCTCAGTGCCCAGAGAAGTTGATGCACAAAGTCTAGATTTCCTGTCATTAAGAGATATGCCATGTTGGTCACCCCTCTTAAGAGGAAAAAGCTCAAGGGTCCTGGTGTTTGAATATTCTTCTTCATCACGATAGGTGCGTTTTTCTCTGTTGAGTATAAATGGCAAATTATGATTTTGAGAGGTGATCTTTTGCGGGAGGGATGTTTGCTCTGGTTTCAAAACTTGTGTTCTTTTCTCTCCAAGTTGAGTCCACCCATTTGGTCCACTTTCTGCTGTTTCCAGTGGTGAAACAGGTTCCTGTAAAATACAGATGGTCGAAGTTGAAAATGAAGGAGCGTAAATTAAAGAAACAAGTAATGTTAGAGTGTTATTGAGAGAGAAAAGTGAGGGGATTTGAGATTGAATCAGTTTAAATAGAGTCCAAGAAATTCTGTACGTTCAGCACGAAACAGCCCCAGGAGAAACTAAAAAAGAACAGCTTTTGAAACTCTCTTTTTACCAGCATGAAAAGGCTCGTTGCTGTATCCCCCAAAAAAATACGTGTACTGCTTTTGCTTTTCCTCTTTATTTTTTTTTACAACTGAGGAGTATGAAAAAAGAAGATGAACTCAGATACATAAGGGCGTACGCTCACTTGTATGGATTGTGGTTGTTGATTTTCAAGTACATTTAACTAACATGAGTGTATTTAAATTACTGTTGTAGTCACTTTGACAGAAAAATATGCAATGATTAAGGAAATGATACAAAGAGGACTGAAGTTGCAGAAAAATGAAATTATATAAGGTTATGACGCTATGGATGAGGAAGAAAGTAGAAAGAGATAAGGCAAAATTGGTACAATGAGCAAAGCCAAAAGAAATATGTACAGACCTCCGTAGGGGCAGTGAAGTTTGAAGAAGATGCCCACTTCTTTGTCTCTTTAACTCGATAACTTGTCCCTCTCAACCCTGCACTCAAAATCCAGAATAGCTCAAAACTCACCTTTAGAACCTCAATTCTTTCGTACATTATTTGTCACTCATAAGTCATAACCCTCCGTTGTCTCTCTCATGCTCACTTTTGTAATCATCAGTCTAGGGTAGCAAGACATCAGCATCTTTTGCCCACAAAAAGATCCAAACATATCGAAGAGAAATTCTTAAAAAGGAAATTTGTAAATTAAATATATAACATGCCCTGATTCTAATATAGTAATATGCCATTTATTTCCGATCTTTTCTTTATATGTTTATTTAATATTAATTTGATTTATATTCCTAAGGAACAATATAGTCAAAAAGATTCTCTTTCAAGCAATTAGATGTTTCAAAATATTACTTGGAAAATGTAACTTGTAATCCTAAAATTCTTATCCAATTTACGATTTAATCTTTGTGTTTTAGTCGGTATCAATTTCATTTTTGTAGTTTCAAAATATCAAATAAATAATCCTTATATTTTGAAAATGTTCAACTAAACATTAAATGTTTTCAAAGCACGAAGACAAAGAACTATTGATGTTTTGAAACCATAAGGATTAAATTAATCACAATTAAAACATGAGAATCAAATTACAAATTAGGTGAAATTTTGAGGATCAAATTCCTTTTTCCCATATTACTTTTATAAATCACATTTTTTTACAAGAAAAGTATGATTTTCTGTTCTTTTAATTTTTTTTATTATATTTGTCTGTACCTTTATTAAAATCACAAACTAAATTCCCAATTTTAGTCCACACAGAGAAATCATTGAAATGTCTATAAAAAAAAAAAGAGAGTACTTTGGCCAAAAAAAAAAAGTTAAAGAGAGTACAAGTTATCACTAGACACTAGTTGTACCTGCCGGCTCTTGCTTTTCTTCTGAGCTTCTCACGTTAACAATGTACAGTTCTTTGTCTTCAGCGGAATCAGAAGCAGTCTTCTCCATCTCCCGGCGACGTCGTTTCTGGCGCTCTCTAGCTTTGTGATTCTGGAACCAGTAGAATACATTCTTCCCTTCGATCTTGCCAAAACGACGTAGCTGCGAAGCTATTTGCTGTATCTGTTCAGCCGTCGGTGTCTTCGTACCTTGTCTAAACAGTTCTTCAAGCACAAGTAACTGTGCTGGCGTTGGACTCCACCTCGAGCTTTGCTGAGATTGCCCATGCAACCCCTTACTTGTACTTACTCTTTCATCTCCTGATGAACACAGCCATAAAAAATTAAATTCTTGAAGCATCAACACGTTACAACAAATCAAATCCTACAGTTTCTTACACCTGCAACACCTACTTTAAGTGGCGTTTGTTCAATATACAGTCACCTGTTTACAATATATATATATATATATATATTTACCCGAGTATTTCTTAATAGATGTGATGCAATATTTCAAACTGCCCCTAATGCTATATTTTGTTGTATTCCAGTGTTTTTAGTGGATGTCCAAGCTTCTCATGATAATTAAGCACATATTAACAAAACCCAAAAAAAGAATGAGACTTGAGAGAATCTGGCTTACCCAGAGGATGATTCAAAGAGTTAAGATTGGTGCAGTGGGTGCAAATGCAGAAAGGTATGATTTTGGGAGGTGCGGAAGAATTGATGGTGGAATTTGCAGTACTGAGAGAGTGAAGCTTGAAGGCACTGAATGGATCAGACATATTCTCTAGGAACAAGATCACCAGGTCACTACAACTGCCAAAAAGGTCGGTGTTATATTGTGCATATACATTGATATCAAAGATCTTTGCTTCTTTTGTTTTTTTGGGGTCACAAAGATCTTTGCTTTTTGGTGTAAGGAAATTGGGTTTTGAATGAAATGCAGAGAGAAGATATATGGTGATGTGAGTGAATGATACAGATGATGTTTGAGCAAGGAAGAAGGGGCGTATTTGTAGGAACAGAAAACGTTGTAGTAAAAGCTTTAGGTGGAGCAGCAAGCAACGAAAAGTTAGTTGACCACTCCATCTGATGATACAGAAACCAAATGTTCAAATCATGAGTGAGAGAAAGAGATAGAGAGACAGAGAGAGTGGGAAAATAGAAGCGTGGAACTGAGAGATGTCGAGGATCAAGCTGTACAAAAGGACAAGACCATTATGATTATGATGTGCAAATTAAAGTTGTTGCATCTTTCGAGTTAGCTAGTAATAAAAGAGACGACATCTTTTCATAGGGATTATAATTTTGATTGTACCAGATAATATCAGCAAATAGATTCTTAAAAATAATTCAGAAAAAATGGAGTTTCAACAAAACTCAGTCTTGCACATACAAGAAAAGGTAATTGCAATTTGCGCTGTCTCTTTATAACCTCCTCTGATACAGAACAAGCGCGCTTAGTTAATTGCTCATTCACAGTGCCTAGCTAGTGCCTTCGGCTTTCTCTCTTTTCTTCTTCTCAGCACTCATGTGGTATAAATATTTCAGATTTCTATGTAACGGTGTTATAAAGGCACACAGCATTGAGTTCCACAGAAGAAATATGTTACTGTTAATACATAAGCTTTTTTTGGTCTTGGACATGCCCTGTATACACGATTGATGATTCTGCATGCCTGAACAATGCTTTGTGACATAGTAACTTAATTTTTAATACCTATACTTGGCAAAAGAATGCACACCCTATCCTATCCCTCTGTCTCGGAAAGCGCTTCTTAATTATGATATTGAGAAGCTCAACAAATTAAATGTAGATTTGTTGTCACTCCAAATTCCTCTCTCTTTTCTGAATGTTTTTGTTAGTTTTGAATTATGACACGTCAGCAGTAATTAGACATTAGTCTTGATAATTTGTCACAGATAAAACTAGTTCTTAGTGGACCAGCGAAAATATAATCATTCCCAGCAACTTTGGTTCTGATCTCACATCATACAGTATAATTTCAAGTTAACCATAGAGTATAACAAAGGGTCCTCCTCACAAGCAATCAAAAGAAGCATTAATTACATAGACATTGACAATGAACATGATATATATATATATATATATATATTATCACGTACGTATGTGACTTGAAAAGTCACGTCATGTTTGATGTAAATTTCTGATGCAAATTATAAAATTGAAAGTGTCCGTGCTTCTTTGATGGACTATGAACTCAGTCCTGACCTTTCACCGAACACGTGAATCATGGATGAATGAATCTATGAATGAATATGCACTTTCACATGTATATAGCTCTTGATCATCTCAACAAATAATTCTTACAAACTTGAAATTTATCTCTATCTATTTGTTCACAAATCTATTTAAGAAAAAAGAGAAATGTCAAAGAACTGAACGGTATACATATATCATCAACTTTCTGAAGGATATATAATAGCTAGAGTTGGCCGCACGAACATAATTCGTCAACCTTCCTTGCCATTTTGGGAAGTCATAAAAGTAGCTTTTCGTGTAGAGCATAATGGAGCAAGGTACTATACTACTTCTGCATACGTGATAATGAATGTAAACCAACAAAGTATAGAGTAGTAGCAACGTAGGCTTATGTCTCACGTGTGCATTAATGAGTAAGGGCTGTCCCTAAACGCTAATTTAGCCACCTTCAAAAGTCATTTGTGTCTCACTCAAACTTGATGTTAGCAGAATTTATAATACATTAGTGTTCCCATGTCCCCCGACCATGTCTCACGAAACTCATTATTGCTGTGCCTTATTTTGTCGTTTGAAATTACTGCTTCTATTAATTTTGTACTCGAGTGTTTGTTGATTATATGGGCTTGGCTTACACTGTGTTTCATTTTTCCATATTTTCACACGCATTCTCTGAACTGTCTACAAGTGTGACACGTACTACTAGTTGAACCCTTTCAGATTCTGCAATTTGCCTCTAGGCCAGCTTCCTCAGATTTTAAGTGTCTGACCATAAAGTGCGACATTTAGTTAGTCGTTGGCATGCAATGAGTGAACTTTTATCATTCTGGTTTTTTTTTTAAAAAAAAAAACTTAATCATTGTTGTCATAATTCCTATTGTTGTTTGTTAGCAAGACAGTACTTGCATTTGGTTTTTTACATGTCTGTGTAATAGTAAGCAAATGTTTTTATTAAATCAAAAAAACATTACCCGCTCAGTTAAACCTTTTACATGTCATTGTTTGATTCAAGTTTTTCCTGGTTAAGAGTGTAAGGCTGCTTTCCACGTCTCAAAAAGATAATCTATTTAATGAGAAAGCCTCAAAATTTAAGGATCATTAAATTCTATTTCATCATATTAATAAGATCTATTCAACAATAATGTGTATATCCCCTAGGTAATTATAACATGCATGTTTTTCAACCCAAAAAAACATCATCACATTAGAAAATAGTCTCCATAGAACCAAGGCTTGACTTCAAATTACATCTCGAACGAATTACACTCGCACGCATACAGACTTTTAAAACAATCCCCTTTCCCAATCAATACACGACTTTTGCAATTGAAGGTTGAGAAACAAAGCAATCTAATTCAACGAAATGCAATTACGGGAATAATGTACTGCTTCCACTGATTCAATATAATGCTGACTGCAGGGATAAGAGTGCCAATTAACTTGATGCTACATTTAATCAGCACAACAGCTTTGCAGTTTTCAAATGGAGTACACACACTCAAAGAAGTTGCAACGTCACAGACAAGAAGTAAATATGCTGTCTCTGTGCTCCTTCGAATATTTAATCACTTCAAAATGCACTGTCATCCTTTTCAATTATTTGCCTATAAACACGTAAGTACTACACTTCCAAATCATGCTTGATCTGGGAGCATAGCTGATATCATCTTGTCCGGAGGGACCATGTTTCAAAGACCATAATATTAGCAATTGCAAATAAAGAAAAATGTTAGAAAAAAAAATGAAGATATTCCACCCTGGCTTGCTCCTCGAAAGTGGTAATGAGCTTGAAAATCCTTGCATACTAGGGCGTATAAGAACACATCCCAGCCTTATTTTTAAGTTGCAGTGATTGGGTATGTTTTCTTTGTTTAATGAAGTCGTTGTTAGTATGGGAAAAGGGGGAAAAGTCCAAAAAAAGCTATTGATTATTAACTAAAACAGAACATTCTCCATCCCTTGACTTGGCTAATCATCTGATTTTTTTTTTTTTAATTACTCACAAGTATTCTTTCATTGGATGCAATCTTGCTCAAGGCATAGTTGGACACTAAATGTAAGCAATCATGTTTGATGGGCTAATCATCTGATTTAATCGGTGTGATAAGAAAAATAAACTACAAAAGCACCAAAGTTTTGAAACTGATTGCTATTGGTTTTACAGACGAACATTCGTATTTGACTAGGAATAATATACTGGTCATGTTCATGCCATACTTGATTTGGATTATGCTCTTTAAACCAATCCATATAGAGATCCATACAGGTTAGTGTGATGCTATTTAAAAAGGTGTAGATGGTTTTATGAGCAACACTAATTATCTACTATAGGAAAATAGAAACAAGAGCTAAATTGTTATGAATATGAATGGAGGGGTTGAAACTTGTTGCCTCCATCCCGTTGTGAACCACCGAAATAATCAATGAATGAACAGAAAAGAAAAACAGCAGATGCTGCCATCTATAGCTACTTGGGATTCCCATTTTTTAAGGCACTTGACAGACACTGAAGAATGATTTCATATCAGATTGTATCAAATATAAGCAATAAGTTTTGGCCAGCATATATGTACAGTTGGACTTCAGCAACTCGGCGATCTCGGCACTCAATCTAATTCTTGATGAGAAGGGTAAAATATATTAATTCATGCATTTAATTGTTAAGCTAGGAATACTTTGGAAAAAATAATTTCATAATTCTTTGAGCAGTCTTTGACATGAAATTTTACCTTATGGGAAAAGAATCATTGAGTAGTCATTAACAAGCCATCCTGTAAATAAAATTAATCCCACCACAAAATGTTACCTTGTGTTCATGGTATCAAGGAATCAGTCAATACTCAATAGAACATGTAAAACATGGAAACTTTGGGGACACTGCTCGATCATCAGTGGTAAGAAAGAGACATCGAAGAAGCAGTAGACCTAAATGATTGAGGATCTTTGGACTGTTGTTGTGTTTATCTCAATCAGGCAATATTTTAGATTATTCCTGTTCAATAGGCAGAGTGAAACACTTGCACAGAAAAACGTCTGAAATTCACCGCGCAATGAAAGGAGATTAGCCAATGGGCTAGCCCAAGTGAAGCTCACACCATTTATGCTTTTGGCCAAGTAAAAATTGGAAAAAGCAGAACTGATAAATAAATAAATAAATAAAATTTTTAGCTGTGTAAAAGCAGTATAACAAGGGATAAGGAACGATCACAACACAAGGAATGTGCTTTCATTCTTTTATTTTATTCCAATAATTAGTCCACTGAACAAATTAAGTAAGCTCTCTCTCCAGCGGGATAGCAACGCCAGTTTCTTCTCACCATCCGACCAAACAAGAAGCATCCTGATCTCAAGTGTTTGATAGGTCTGACGTCTCCTTAAGATCAACTCCTTTTGGCCTCAAAAAAGACCTAAACTCCCACAATTCTGAGTTCTGGTTAGTGTCTGAGACTAAGAGGATGCAGACTAGTAACTTCTTCAGTGTTGATCAATCATTCATGAAAATCCAAGTCCTGATTACATCCCACAAATTTATCAAAATAATATATTTTTGGCACTGTCTAACTCCACGGTTTTGCTTGCTGTCGATGATACAAGAGTATCCTATAATTATATTATCGTGTAGTTAAACCATCTCAATAATTTCCCAAACCGCTCTCTTGAAGAATGGTGCATGCCTAAGACCATCCCGGTTCCAACACTGAATTAGCCTATAACTGAGAATTGAGAGTTTTCCTACAACGAAGATGAGTATATATTTCATAAGATGACTAAGATGATATTCTCGCCCACAGTAACTCAAGGCGTAGAGGAGAAAAATCACTTGAGGCATGCTTTCTAAGAGCTGCTCAACGTCACAATTTATAGTTACATACAATTCTTTGGCCATCTTTATGTCCCTTGATGCCTTTGACTATAGTTTTTCTCTAACTATCCACCACGCTTAAGAAACAGGAAACATGGATAGAAAGTCTAGACTCCTATACAGCTTGAAAACTCGTCACTGCTCAAGTGCTCATAGCCACTTACCAGAAATCCTTACAAGAACAAACTCCATTTCTGAAATTATGAAAACGAATTTTGTCTCTCATAATAATCTCTCTCAATGAAATTTGGGAGACAAATTTAGAGAAAGTATGGCAGTCATCACATATTCTCAAATTCTTGATCACTCTAATAGGGCGTTCAGGCCCTACATTAATCAAGGCAAAGGCGATGGCAAGTTTTTCACTGTGGGTGCTGATAATTGATTCCTTCTCTTCCAATTCGACATCGTGGAGCACAGAATTGGTCTTTGAACTGTAACCCATACTCTTCATTTGTTTAATCAAACGATCCAACTTTTCGTATATAATTTCTGACTGCGGATGTGATCTATCTCCCCCATAGAAAACATGTAACTCTCCATTAAACTCAACTGAGCTATATGCAGCTATTTTTCTGACACCCTTCTTCCTCATCTTCTGCCTCACCTTATTAACAAAATCCCACCTCCCGGCAGATGCATATATATTTGACATTAGAACCTGGTATGAAGCAACATCAGGAGCTAGTTCATAAAGACGATCTGCGGCATGTTGGCCCATTTCCACGTTTTGGTGTATAACACAGGCGCTCAATAGAGCCCCCCATACCCCCGAGTCTGGCTCAATAGGCATGCTTTTGATGAAGTTATACGCTTCTTCAAGACGTCCTGATCGGCCAAGAAGATCAACCATGCAAGCATAATGTTCTTTCTTGGGTTTTATGTTTTCATCATCTGATCGAGACATCCGATTAAAATATCTCCAGCCTTGGCTCACTAGTCCAGCATGGCTACAAGCTGACAAAACCCCCAGATACGTAACATAATTTGGTCGCAATCCCTCTCTCTGCATCCTAGAAAGCAAGGATAATGCCTTTCCACTTTCCCCGTTAATAGCATATCCTGAAATCATAGTACTCCAAGAAATTACATTCCCGCGAGGAATTTTCTCAAACAATTCAGTCGCAAAGTCAATATTACCACACTTCACATGCATGTCTAGCCGTGCATTTTCAACAATTATGTTGCAATCGATCCCTTCTTCTCTTGCAATACGATAAATTTCTTCCCCAGTATCCGAACACCCTAGCTGGCCACAAACTGAAAGAGCACTCACCAAAGTCACAGCATCTGGCCGAGTTCCAGATGAACTCATTTCTCGAAACAAAGCAAGAGCCTTAATTCCATATCCATTCTGGGCGCATGCTGCAATGAAAGCATTCCAAGCCACTAAATCTATTTCAGTCATGGTATTAAACAAAAAATCAGCTAAACCGAGTTCTCCAAATTTGACATACATTATCATTAATTCAGTCCTTATCACTGCAACAAACTCGATCCCATATTTCACCAGCTGGGCATGAGCAGTAGAACCCGCAGCCTTGAATTCAGGCAGCTCAGCACAGGCCTTAATCACGAAAGGAAATGTGAATGAATCAGGACGTACACCGACAAGATGCATTCTCTTATAAATGGAAGCGGCTTCATTGGGTCGGCCATTTTGCACATAGCCTCTGATGAGGGTGTTCCACAAGAAAGTTCGCGGCTTGTGCATTTCGTCGAACAGTTGACGGGCATACAACATATCACCCAATACTATGAAGCTGGTGAGAAGATGCGTGAGAAGGCTGTTCTTGATGGAGAGGCCTGATATGAGGAGGAGGGCATGGATTTGTTTCAGCTGATACGGATTCGAGGAACATGACTGCAACAGGGTGGTAAAGGCTTGTTTGGTCAGAAACTTGTGCTGGCCCGTAAAAGCTTGAGAAGAGAATTTGAGGGTTGGAAGGAATGGGGGGAGGGGGAAGGTGAACAAAAACTTGGTGGGAATTATTTCTGGAAGCATGAGCTTGGTAATATGGCACTGCCCTAGTTCATGATGAGTTGGTTCATTTTAATATGAACCCATGTTTTTGAGCAAATCGTTGTCGGAATTTCAAACCAACATTTCCATTACTCCTATCTCCAGCAGTTAACAACCACACGAAGAATTTTATATTCGTATACGCAAACAAAAACTCACTGTGATCTCAGATATCAGCTGCTAGGTATCTATTTTAGTCTGCAATAGACCTGGACAGAAAATCCTGCAACGAGTTGGGTCGAAAAATCCATTTAATGTTAGTTATAGTTGAATTTTTTTTTAATATAATACTTGAAATTGTTATTGAAAAGAGATAGGCTCTTGAGAAAGCTTATGAGTGCTTTAGTCCTTACCCGGGCCTCATGGGCCAAAATATGATAGTTATATTATTAATACATTAATGGAAAAATAGTATTTAAGGATCATTATGTAAAATTATATCATATAAGGATCAAATAATTTTATATTTATTTTACAGTCTTATGGTCCTTCTTATACATTAATTTCATAACCAAAAGATAAAAATGTCCCTCAATTTAAAATAATAACAAAAATCTGTGTTGGAACCCTTGAAAGCTCGCCCTGCCCCATATGTCGAACAATTCACCTCCATTGTCGCCCTCACCAAGGTAACCATCGGGAGCAACTTCTTTTCCAACTTCCTAGGATAAAATTGCTTTTCTTATTCATAAATGACATTAAAAGGGTCATTCTTTGACAGCATTATTAGTGGTTGAAGATTTAGTAGTCGGCCATTGTGAACTATTGAAGGTGGTTGTGGTTAGCATTATTAGAGGTGAAGAAGGGTTGTTGGTAAACAGTAAGATAGATTTCATTTTTCTAGAGGTATTCATTGTCATTTACCTCCATGTTAGTCGAAACAATCTAGTTCAGTGATTTGTTGGCGTTATTTCGATTTGTGTGCTAAGTTATGTCATTTATATATTTGCTAACCATTGCTTTGTATGCATGATAACAACTTTCATTTGTGAATGAACAAGCTCCCTTATTATATTGACAAGATGAGGGTAGAAAAATGAAAATTTATACTTGAAGAAGTCCTTTTAGAACATTCACAGGTAACCATGTTAAAATAACAAGAGCCTTAAGTGTTTTGACAAGCATTTGATTGAAGAACAGCTCATAGTTGTTAATTAACAAGTCCCTTTACTATATTGACAAGTAACTACGGAAAAATAACAAGAGTTTTTAGTGTTTCGATAAGTGTATCCCTGAGTAACAACTTTAATTTGTGAATTAACAAGATCCGTTATATCATTGACAAGTTGAGGGTAGTATATAATGATAAATATTTTGACAAATCCCTTTAGTATTTTAATAACTTCAATTTGTGAATGAATAAGATTCCTTATGTTATTATTAGTAAGAGCAGGGTAATATATAATGATAAATATGCTGAAAAATCCCTTTAGTGTTTTGACAAGTAGCCGTGGGGAAATAACAAGAATCTTAAATGTATCACTGAGTAACAACTTCAATTCGTGAACTAACAAGATCCCTTATATTATTGACAAGAGCAGGATAATATATAATGATAAATGTGCTACCAAATCCCTTTAATGTTTTGACAAGTAGCCATGGGGAAATAATAAGACTGTTTAGTTTTCAACAAATGTATCACTAAGTAACAACTTTTACTCGTGAATTAACAAGATTCCTTATGTTGCTAACAAGAGCAGGGTAGTGTATAATGATAAATATGCTGACAAATCCCTTTAGTGTTTTGACAACTTTAATTCATGAATTAACAAGATCCTTTATGTTATTGATAATAGTAGGGTAGTATATAATGATAAATGTTTTGACAAGTTCCTTTACTACATCGACAAGTAGCTATAAGGAAATAACAAGAGTCTTTAGTGTTTTAACAAATCTATCACAGAATAATAACTTCAATTCGTGAATTAATAAGATCCCTTATATTATTGATAAGAGCAAGGTAGTATATAATGATAAATATTCTAACAAATCCCTTTTCTACGTTGACAAGTAGCCATAAGGAAATTAATAAAAGTCTTTAATGTTTTGATAAGTGTGTGATTGAGTTAAAACTTCTATTTATGGATAAACAAGTCCTCTTAGTTTATTCACAAGAGCAAGGTAGAATATGATAAAATCACGGGCTCCAACAAGTCCTTTTGTTATATTGACAAGTATCCATGTGGAAATAACAATGGGATTTAATGTTTTAACAAGTAGATGGATGATTTGACATTTTGTAAACTATGATTATTTTAATATATGCAGTGGGAGAAAAATGATTAACAAAGAAGGATAGAAGAGGCAACACATGATTGGATTTAAGCAATTCATGAAATAATTTCATGAGAATAGAAAAAAGGAAGTACAAGTCCTTCCAAGATGTTGGAGAAGCACAGAAGAAGTTGAGTAGAGAAGAAAATGAGCAATACAAAGTAAAGGCCCTTGAGTTAAGAGGTGAAAACAACTAGAAGAAGTGTAACGTACCATTCCATACTAGATGTTCACCAAGTAAGTTTAAGGAAGTTGCTCAATTTATGAAGGACAATGACAAGTTAAAGGATAAGGTGAACAAAATTGGTTTTGGAAAATTGCTGGACATAGGTTATAAGAGAATACCTCGAGAGCTTGTTGGAGAGCTAATTTGTGCTTATGACCCACCAATAAAAAAATTACAATTAAAGGGAAGACTATAAAATCTCTCCTTCATATATAGAACTTTTAATGGGGTTACCCAATAAAAGGGAAGAAGTAAAAATGGAAACTAATAAGGAGGTTATTAATGAATTGAAGAGGGAATATTCTTCATTGTCTTTTAACGAAATAAAGGAGAAGATCTTGTCTATAGAAGATGATAATACTTTTGAGTGTTTTTTGTATTATACACACTTGGCACTTTTCTATGTCCTACTGCAAGTGTTATTGTTTGTGACAAGCTTTTGAAAGTGATGAGTTACACAAAAACTGCATGGGAAAATTTTAACTAGGTAAAACTTGTGTTGAATGAGCTTACAATGGAGATTCAAGAGTACAAATAGCTTATTCAAAAGGGAAAGCTTCAGGGATCAAAAGATGTTAGAGGCTGTGTCTTTTTCTTATCAATATAGAGTTGTTAATAATTTATTTTATTATTTTTGATGACTAATTGGAAGACATATAGATTGAAATATAAGTTGCTTATTTTTTTTTGTAGATCTTTTTCCTTCAAAATTTTCCTCTAATTAAAGACGGCCCATCCTCAAGTAATGCTCTCAAGTATTGGAATAAGGAGAAAGTGACTAAAATAGTATATCTAGAGAAAAAGAGTTGCTATGGGGTCTTTTATACTGCAAGCACTAGTTAGGAAACCAGTTTCATAAAATTACCACTAATTATAACATTTCATCAATAGGTTAGTATGGAAAAATTATTTTATTTCAATATTGTTGATGTATATCATATTATACGCTGTGTGTTATACTGGAGATAAAAGACATGTATGTCAGAGTGAACACTTTCATCACTGAAAAATTAAAGGAAATGCGTATTTATGTTGTTGATGAGTTATTCAAGCTTCAAGAGAAGATGGTTGGTATAGAAGATCTGGATAAGGATAAGGATACCAAGGAAGAAGAGGAGGAGATAAGGATAAAGAAAAACTATAGGCAAGTTTATGAAGAAGAAAGTAAAGAAGAAGACAAAGAGGAAGTTAAAAAGTTAGATGGAAAGGAAAGCTCAAAAGAGATTAAAGAAGATGATGAAGAGAAAGAGGGAGAGGGAGAGGAGGAAGAACATAATTCAGATGCAATGGATAAAGAAGATATAGAACAAGATGGTGACAAATCAGAGAGCAAAGCCAATGTTCCACTGAGAAGATAAAAAAAGGTGAAAAAACTTTGCATTAGATCTCCACGGTTAGCATTTGTTAGCCGGAAGAGAAAAGTAAGTGAAAAGGTGCAGCTGTATTGTGCATTGAATTTTGTCCAGGAGATAAAGCTCAATAGTAAGTAATTTATCCTTACACTTTGCTGTCCACATCAATCTATGTTATGTTATGGTTTATATGTGTAGGGTATTTGTGCAAATGTTTGGATAACACCTTACACGGGGTGAACTTTGATTCCTTGATCCTTAACAATGGCTCAGTAATAGGTTATGTTTAACACTATCTTAAGTAAAACTTGATTTCACACATAAAATTTGTAAGTTGAAGGGTTTGCTTTATGTAGATCATGTCAATGGTAGTATTGACATTAGTTGTTGAGCAAAAGGACTAATATTCTGGGGTGAAGTGACATATATTTGACTCAAAGTTTATGGTTAGTAATAGTTTATTGGTACACAACTGTAACTATTATGGAGTAGTTTATTAAGTTTGTTGATAATACACTATTTTTATAGGAGATCATGATAAGAAGTCTAAATGCTTGAACTTTGGCTAGCTACCTAAATAAAATAAATCTAGATAGTATTGACTATAATATAAGACATTGTGATTATATATTTGCACCAATTATTATGGCCAACTATTGGTTTTGCTTTGTGATAGATCCAACAAACCTTCAATTTTATGTCCAAGATTCATTGAAGAAGGGTAAAATAAAGATCCAAGAATCTATGGGCAGGAAATGATGGCTGTTGCTTGTGCATGTCTCTCTTCATTTGGAAATTTTTATAGATTATTTAGTTTGAAATGTTACTTAATGGTAAAATGTTCATTTATGCAGAGGACCAACTTCATTGAAATCTTAAGGCATGTTGCACCTAACCTCGAGGCACTATCTAACTCAGATCTGAATGTAAAAATTATCTATCCCAAAGTTCAAATATAAGATAACACGTGAGTATTGTTTATGTTAATGAATTTTCACTTGTTTTATTAATTGACCACACTATCCATGTTTTTGTAGGATTGATTGTGAGCTTCATGCGATCACATGATTTAAATTATGGCCCAACATAAACCATAAAGACTGGGAACAAGTGACTATACTTGAATATACCACTGAAGAATTAGCTGCTATAAGATGTGATCTATTATGGTGGCTAGTGGACCATCCAAGCAATAAGGTCTCTATAGACATCCTCAAACTAATCTTACATAACACATTCAAAAAAGGCAACGTTGATTTCATTGTATAATGATATTATGCAAGTGTTTCATTTCCTTTAAGAACCATCTGTAATGATAATGACAATGTCATAAAGTTAATCGTTAGGGTACTTATAGTTTGACCAATGTAGTTAGCTACCTTTTCATACACTTTTTTGTA